GAGTAGAGCCTTGAAAGGTTAGAAGAAATGAGCAAATATAAGGGAAGAACATTTCAGACACAAAGGGAGCTCCATTTACAAAGGCTTGGGGTTCCCTTGAACTTGGTAACCAAAGGGAGGCAATAGCTGTTTGGGCAGGACCTTGTGAGCCAAAGAGAAGTGTTGATAGGTGTGTTATTTTGTTTAAAATCTTAAACATGGAAGATTGTAAAATAGGAGACCGATGGAATCAGGGTTTTGTATTATTCTGGCTTCTGGTATGAAGGTGGCTTTGGATAAAGCCATAAAGCTAGAAAAAAAAAGTCTTATCTTGCCCTCTAATATGTATAACCTTAACAATACATTCCACTGAATTAATACATAGCTTTTTCAAAATAAAATCCTGGTAGGAGTGGCTAAAGTTTGCAAAACATGGAACTACTGTTCGGATATTTATTTATTTATTTATTTATTTATTTATTGTCAGTTGTGGGGCCTGAACTCTGGACCTGCGCACTGACCCTGAGCTCTTCAGCTCAAGGCTGGCATTCTACTACATGAGCCACAACACCACTTCTGGCTTTTTCTGCTTATGTGGTACTGAGGAATTGAACCCAGGGTTTCATAAGCATGCAAGGCAAGCACTCTACCACTGAGCCACCTTCCCAGCCCCATGATACTATATTTTGAAATATCATTCCTGTAGCCTTTAGTCTTCTCTGAATTGGGTCTGAAAAAGTTACTTAACATTCAGGCATTGAGGAAAGGCCAGGGGCAGCACAGGGCAGACTATTGAGGATGATTGACTAGAGGCCCAACATCATGTGAAGGTATCTCAGTTTCTTCTCAAGTGACAGTAGTTGTTACCTCAAAGAGTTGTTGTGAGCATTAAAGGTACTTAGCACGGTAAGTACTCAGTTACAGGTTTCTGGTGATGATAAAACTATCATTGTTCCTATGGAGGACAAGAGTATGCCATATTAAAGGGCTAGACTTAGGCTGAGCAGTGTAGAGTCATTAATTGGGGACAATTAATGTGAGAGTTCATAGAGCCCTGAAAAATTGAGGAAGGGTATGATCAGATGGTTCACAAAAGAAATACAAATGATTGTAAGCAGAAGGAAAGGTCCTTGATTATAAAAATCTGTGACCTGAAATTCAGATTTAAACAAGGAACCAGTTTTTGTTTAAAAAAAAAAAAAGTAAAAGATTGACATTTTCAGATGTTAGAGACTGGGAAAGACCACTTTCAAAAAGATTTATTTGGGCCTGGGAAGGTGGCTCAGTGGTAGAGCGCTTGCCTTGCATGCCTGAGGCCCTGGATTTGATTCCTCAGCACCACATAAGCAAAAAGAAAAAAGCCGGAAGTGGCACTGTGGCTCAAGTGGTAGAGCGCTAGCCTTGAGCTGAACAGCTGAGAGACAGCGCCCAGGCCCAGAGTTCAGGCCCCATGACTGGACCCCCCCCCCCCCCAAAAAAAAAAAAAAAGATTTATTTTTTGTGGGTTATGGGACTTGAACTTTGGGCTTGGGCGCTGTCCCTGTGCTCTTCAGCTCAAGGCGAGCACTCTCCCACTTGAACCACAGTGCCACTTCCAGTTTTTCTAATGGTTTATTGGAGATAAGAGTCTCACTGACTTTCTTGCCCGGGCTGGCTTTGAACCGATCCTCAGATCTCAGCCTCCTGAGTAGCCAGGGTTACAGGCATGAGCCACCAGTGCCTGGCTTCAGAAAGGTTTTTTTGTGTTTGCTAGTACTGAGGTCTTGAAATCTAAGCTTCTCACTCTTGCTTAGCTATTTTTCTGCTCAAGGCTAGTGCTCTACCTCTGGAACCACAACTCCATCTCCAGTATATTTATGGTTAATTAGAAATAAGAATCTCATAGACTTTCTTGCCCAGGCCAGGTTTGAATTGTGATCCTCAGATCTCAGCCTTCTGAACAGCTATAGGCATGAGCCATAAGCACCCAAATACTCTTAATTTTGAGACAGAGCCTCTCATTTTGTCTTGGCTGGCCCCAACCACTACACTTGTATTTATGCTAAGTACCTGGAATGACTAGTCCCTACTATCATACCCAGCTTTTTCGATTGAGATGGGGAGGTCTCTAAAACTTATTGTGTGTTACCTCCCGTGTAGCTAAGACTACAGAGAGGGACCACCAATGCCCATCTGTTTATGTCTTTCTTTGAAAACTAGATGATCTGGCTGTCATGGTCCTAGGTTATCGGCTGGCCACCTCTGGCTGGAATGGGCACAGTGCCCATAACTAAGGCTCCTGTACAGTTGTTGGTGGTGTTGGTGGTTCTTTATGGTTGAGTTATGAGGGACAAGAAGTTATTCTTGCACTAATGACTTGACAGTGTATCTGATCTGCTCTGAGAAGAATGCATATCAAGATACCTGTCCAAACTGGTTTTGATAGACATTTGGGTTTGTGTTTCAACCTATGGAACTTTGTGACTGGAAGATTAAGGAAACACGATGAAAATTAATGCTGACTACCTGATTTTTTAAATTTTTATTTATTTTTTAGTCCTGATTACCTGACTATTCCTAGTCACCCATTGGTATTTGACCCTTCTGAGGCCTGATGTGGAGACTTCTGGTTCTCTCTCTCGTGAGAGTTTCTTTTTCTCCCTGGGTTGTCCTGGCCTCAGACAACTCACACTCCCTGGAGTTATCCCAAATACTTCCCTGGCTGTAACTCCCAACCCAAGATTCCCTAACATTAGGCTCACATTTGCCTGAGTTCTCAACTTGTAACTCACATGAGCCACAACTGCCTTTAAACCACAGGAATCTCAAACCCAGTATGAGCAGATTTATTTTATGGTCCTTTGTTTGGTTGACCTTCTCTTGTCTATCTCCTACTTAAGGATAGTCTCAGACACCAAGCCCTGATTTCTAGGTTATCCTAGGCTCCTTTCCTCTTCTGTGCTGTCAGTCTGCACTTTCTGCTAAATGACATTCTAAATGTTTTAGGATCTGTCCCTCTTCTATTTCTACCAATGTCTTATGCAGGCCTTGTTATCTTTTAACCCAAACAATTACCGTATCCTTTTTCTAACTGGTCTCCCTGCCTACAGTCTTGCCTCCAGCAAATCCATGCTCCAATCCTGATGCCAGAGTGATCTGAAATGCAAATATGATCTTGCCACTCCCCCTGCTTAAAACCTTCCACCTGCAGTGGTTCTGTAGCCACAGGGTAGCCCCTGGCGGGGCTGAAAGTAAGTTGTTACTCCTCCTCCTATACTGCCACCATTAGTACCACTGTTACTAATACAAATACTAATAGTAGCTAACATTTATTGAGCATTCTCCATTATGCTTTCCAATGATTTATTATCTGTTGAAAACAAATCATAGCCAGTTTCATCCTTCTAAATGGCACCGCTCTCCTTTTGCTTGGGGGGCAGAGAGGGGCAGAGTTCTAGATGGGGCACCAGATAAATGTTTGTAGCCAGAAATGATCTTACCACGTACTCTAGTGTGTAACTATGCTGATTTAGCCCTGAGAGTTCATAGGGATTACCAGAGTTCTTAGGAACAGAGATTTCCTTTAACTCTCTGCAAAGCATGGGGGTAAGGTGACACTCTTTGAGATCATGGGACCCAAGTATGTCACGTGTGGGTGTGTCCTCTGGCTCCTGGGTCCCTGCCCACCCCTGCGATTCCTGCCATTCCCTTTTTTTGCACTTTCCATTCTAGTACAATCAAACTATATGTCATACTAATCATCACTCACCCTTACTGAGGTCTCCTATGTGCCAAGCACTGGACTAAGTGCTTTCCTTGCGATGTCAGTATCTCACGTAAGCTTCAGCATAATCTTTTAAAGATAAGTCTTTACTGTCCCTTTTTGTTTTATGCTGCTGAGGATTGAACCCTAGGCCTCCCAAATACTTATGTACTTTGCCACTGAGCTCTGTTCCCAGATGGATGTGTTAGAGGAGGAAAGAAGCAAAGCCAGCCTCTGAGGGGCATACTGTAGTAACTGAGTAAGGGTTGCCTTAGCCAGAGTGGCAAATTACAGATGGTTTGTACCCTTCATCTTTGCTCACCTTGGATGTCCTCTGGCCTGGGTAATGCACTTCATCCTCTGGAAACCCACCCCTACCCCTGGCTGTGGTCAGTGCCCCACCTGAGCTCAGTGAGCTATCCAGGGAGCCTCAGCAGCTGCACACATGACCACACTGGAATTGATGGGCTCGGGCTGAGTGGTCCTCAGGGTAGGGACTGGATGTCTCTCATCATGGAACCCCCCAGCATCTAGTGCAGTGTCTGGCACCTAACAGGCCTCCGTAAGTGTTTGTTGAGTTTACTAAACTAAATTCCAGAAGCTGAACCTTGAGGTTATTGTCCTGCTGACCAGTTTTCCCTGTCTTCACCTCTCTAGGCACAAAGCCAGGCTATTTGATCTCTGGAGAAGGATCCTTTCCCTTCCTGCTTGGGTTCCACCTGCACCCTTTGACTTCGGGTGGAAACTGCTGTCTGATCAGCCAGCTTGCCCATACTCTGGACATCTCTGCTCTCTCTGGTCCCCTCTCTCCCTCCTCCCCCACAGGCTGGGCCTGCGTCCACTCCTGAGTCAACTCATTTGAGTTCCCCTTTGGCCTTAGTGTTTTCCACTGGTTGTTTGCATTTTCTTTTTCCTGTCCCAATAGTCCCTCCCCCTAAAAAATAAAAATCTGTTTCTTTCTTTCTTCCCTTAGTCTTCCCAACCAACAGCCCGTGATAGGAATATTCTCCTATGTAGTACACAATCCACAACCTGCTGTTAAGATGATTATATTTTACCTTGGAAAGAAAGTTCCGTTGCCTTGCCTTAAGACATTTAAAATCTGGCCATCCCCAGCCCAGTCTCTGTCTGAGTCCCATATTGCCCCACAGCAGCGCTGGTGTGTCCAATACAGTGACCCTCAGGAGCCTTTGTCCCCACCCCTCTGTACCCCTGCCGCCACCTTGCCTCCTACTGGCCCTGCCTTCCCTCACTTCCCAGTCTCCTCTGCTTCTGGCAGCTTTGGGAGCCCCGCCCCTGGCTTCTCCTCCATGCTGTATGGAATGAAGATTGCAAATCTGGCCTACGTCACCAAGACTCGGGTCAGGTTCTTCAGTCTCGACCCCTGGGTCGATGTGCGGTTCCCAGAAAAGAGGAGAATGAAGCTGGGGTCAGATATCAGCAACCACCACAAGTCACTGCTAGCCAAGATCTTTTATGACAGGTGTGTGTGTGTCAGTGTGTGTGTGTGTGTGTGTCAGTGTGCGTGTGTCCGGTGGGAAGGGTGTGGGGGCGGGGGGGGGGTGGAGAAGAGGCCTTCTGGCTGAGAAAACAGAGGACTGCTTCAGGTTGTTCTTTGGGAATGGGGTAAGGGCAGGAAATTGGTCATGGTGGGGGATGAGGGGTGGGGCAGTTTCCTGAGCATAGCTCTCCACACTCTGCCAACCTATTAGTCCTACAGCGTTACCCAGGGCAGTCCCCCAGTCCAGGCCCCTCACACTTCATTTCCCCTGCTTGCCTTCTACTTTCTTCAGGGCTGAGTATCTTCATGGGAAGCATGGGGTAGATGTGGAAGTCCAGGGGCCCCATGAAGCCCGAGATGGGCAGCTTCTTATCCGCCTGGATTTAAACCGCAAGGAAGTACTGACCCTTAGGCTTCGGAATGGAGGGCCCAAGCCTGTTACTCTCACTCACCTCTTCCCACTCTGCTGGACACCCCAGTTTACCTTCTACAATGCTGATCAGGAACTGCCCTGCCCCCTGGGCCCTGGTAAGTACATTCCCAAAGGGAAAAGACCTGCACACATGGACTCATTCTGGGTGGGCTAAGCTTCGGGAAGCACACTTATGTCTTGGAATGGAACTGCAGGGAGATTCCCCATCTTATCCTATTCACTCAGTCCTCCTCTTCCAGGTGAATACTATGAACTCCATGTCCACTGTAAGACCAGTTTTGTGGGCTACTTCCCTGCCACCGTGCTCTGGGAACTGTTGGGACCAGGAGAGTCTGAATCAGAAGAAGCTGGAACTTTCTACATTGCCCGCTTCCTGGCAGCTGTTGCCCATAGCCCCCTGGCTGCACAGTTGAAGCCCACAACTCCATACAAGCGTGTCCGGATCACTGGCAACCCTGTAGTGACTAACCGTGTAGAGGAAGGAGAGAGACCTGACCGGTAACTCCTCCCCCAACCCTGTCCAGGCTGGGCACATCCTGACCATAATAGTGGATCCTTGGGAATTGCCCAGAGCTTGGAACTAGGAGTAGGGAGCCAGAGCCCCTTTTCTAAACTGTAGGTTCTTCCCTATACCTTTACTATCCAGGAAGCAATTTGAAAGAAAGCGGTAGATCTGAGTCACTCTGTGACTGATTGTCAGGCAACCCGTTGTAGACATTTCTGTTTGATGGTATTAGAGATGGAATCCAGGGCCTCATGCATCCTAAACATATGCTCTAACTTGAGTTCTATCACCAGTATTCTCTTCCTCCCCTCTCTGATTAAGGCAGAACCTCACACATTAGGCAAGCACTCTACTATTTAATACATACCCTCTTATGGTATTGATAACTTTGCCAGAGCTTGTTTCAAACTCAAGATGCCCCCCCACACATACACACACCCTTCACCCCCCTAGCTGGAAATATAGGTCTGTGCTACTCCTTGCAAGAAGAATTGTGACTGCTTCAATTTTTTTTTTTTTGATACTGAGAATTCAACCCAGTAGGCAGGCACTGTACCACTTGAGCCATGCCCCCAGTGTGGTTTCTTTTGCAAGTTGATTGGAAATAAGAATCTCGAGGGCTGGGAAGGTGGCTCAGTGGTAGAGCGCTTGCCTTGCATGCCTGAGGCCCTGGGTTCGATTCCTCAGCACCACATAAGCAAAAAGAAAAAAGCCGGAAGTGGTGCTGTGGCTCAAGTGGTAGAGCGCTAGCCTTGAGTGAAGAGCTGAGGGACAGCGCCCAGGCCCAGAGTTCAGGCCCTACGACCGGAGCCCCCCCCCCAAAAAAAAGAAAGAATCTCGAGAATTTTTCTGCCTCACTTGCCTTTGGACTTCAATCCTCCAGGTCTCGAGTGATCCACAGGTGTTTATGTAGTGTATTTTTTTTAAGCGTTCCCAGTATTGCACTTAGCAACAATAAGAATGGTCCAACTTTGGACCAGTCTGGCACATGAATTAGTGCCTTCTGCATTCTTGGGTAGAGCAGTCGTGTTATAGAAAGACCTAGTGTGCCTGGTGCTGGTGCTCATGCCTGTAATCGTAGCTACTCAGGAGGCTGAGTTCTGAGGATGGTGGTTTAAAGCCAGCCTGGGCAGAAAAGTCCATGAGACTCTCATCTCCAATTAACCACCAGAAAACTGGAAGTGGCACTGTGGCTTAAAGTGATAAGAGCTCAGGGACAATGCCCAGGCCCCAAGTTCAAGCCCCATGACTGACCAAAAAAACTTAGCACATGCTCCAAGGAAGAGGGGGCATTACCAGAGTTTGAAAGTGGGAGGGGTTTGCATGTTTATGACAGCTCTTCTTCCTCCATCCCCACAGTGCTAAAGGCTATGAACTAGAGCTAAGTATGGCGCTGGGGACCTACTACCCCCCACCCCACCTCAGGCAAGTGCTCCCTATCCTTCTTCAGGGAACAAGTGTCTTCACTGCCCCTAAAGAGATTGCAAAGATCAAGTAAGTACTACCCCTCCCCACCCACGCTCCTCCCTCCCCTCTGTTTCCTCCCTGCTGGCCCTTTTCCCAGCACTTCTGTCCTCAGCCTCCCAGGCATTTCGTTCTCCTCTCACTGACAGTGCTCAGCACTGTTCTAGGTGAACCTGTCACGTGGGCTTTGGCCATTCTAGTGGAGAACAGTGAGAGCACTTATAATTGCCTAAAAAAAAAAACACCAAAACATTTTATTTTATAATCTTACATAGCGATCAGTGCTATGAAGAACTGATATGAAATTAAATGAAACTGAAAGCAGGGTAAGGGGTACAGTTTTAAAACAGGCAGTCTTCCTTGCTCCCAACCACAACTTTCATAGTTCCAGAGCTTCTGGTGGGAGAGGGTGGAGTTCCGAGACCTGGGGGTTGCCTACTGTGCCGTTCCTGCCCTCACCCCACCCCAACCATCACTGCCAGGGCCCAGTTGGAGACAGCCCTGAAGTGGAGGAACTATGAGATGAAGCTCCGGTTGTTGTTGCACCTGGAGGAACTGCAGATGGAGCATGACATCCGACACTACGACCTGGAGTCGGTGCCCATGACCTGGGACCCCATGGACCAGAACCCCAGACTGCTCACACTGGAGGTCGGAACTTGCATACAGTGCAAGGGTGGGCCCAAGTCAGTCAACCTTAAGCTGTGATTCTTGACAGCAGATCATACCTAGAATAACGATGAATTCATTCCTGTACCAGAGGGCTCAACATGAAACAGGTGGACAGTCTATGCCATAACCGAGACATGTAGGCAGAGCAGTGGGGTTTTATCCTAGACTCTGTTGCCTTTAGATATGTGACCTGGCTTTCTTTGATCTTAGGTCCCTTATATAAAAAGCACAGAGCTGGACTCCATCATTCTTTGGCGCTTTCTGATTTGAACTAAATTTCAGAGGCAAAGTAGAAACTGAGCTGGCCAAAAGGCTAGTTGGATGACTGGGAAGGTGGCTGCAGGTTCTGGAGTCCTGCCCTACATGTTCTAGGCTTGGCACCTCTGAGTAGCCTGTGGGGCTCCTCCCTCTCCGAGTCTTGTCCTGTCTAATAGGAGAAGAGAAAAGAGTAGGGCTAGCACGAGTCTGAGGCCAGAGCTTCACTTGTCTCTCGGGTCTGAAGAGCCTTTGACTACCATCCCTAGGATAGAAGCTTGCTTGTGTTCACACCCCACAGGTTCCCGGGGTGGCTGAGAGCCGCCCCTCAGTGCTACGCGGTGATCACCTGTTTGCCCTCTTGTCCTCTGAGACACACCAGGAAGACTCTGTCACCTACAAGGGCTTTGTGCACAAGGTGGAATTGGACCGTGTCAAGCTGAGCTTTTCTCCAAGGTAAGTGTTGGGGTTCTCCCACACACACACACACCCCCAACCAGAACACGTTCAAGCTTGTCTCTAAGGCCAAGTATGCTTCCATAGCAGGAGGCTTTTTCTTTAGGGGAACCCTGAACTATACCAGCAGCTTCCTCTTCTAGATAGATTTGTGTAGAAGTCTTGGGAAGAGCAAGTGGAGGAATGGGAGGTGTAGAGAATATTCACCCCACCTGACTGGAGCTCTTTTCTTTTCTCCCTGCCCAAAGCCTCATGAACCGCTTTGTGGATGGATTGACCTTTAAGGTGAACTTCACCTTCAACCGCCAGCCCCTGAGGGTCCAGCACCGTGCCTTGGAGCTGACAGGACGCTGGCCACTGTCACCTCTGCTTTTTCCTGTGGCCTCTTCTGGGGCTGCACTACTTCCTGCAGATGTGAAGCTTAAGTGAGAATGGCAGGGGCACTGGGGCTCCTCGGAGGGTGGTATAGGGAGTGGAGCCGCAAAGTCCTCTGGGATGCTGGATGACTCGAAGTTGATGTTCCTGGCCCTTCTTGCCAGGCTGTTTGACCGGAGTCTGGAGTCAAACCCAGAGCAGCTGCAGGCTATGAAGCACATTGTTATGGGCACTACCCGGCCAGCCCCCTACATCATCTTTGGGCCTCCAGGGACTGGCAAGACTGTCACATTGGTGGAGGCCATTAAGCAGGTGAGATTTGAACACTTAAAACCCATACTCCTGATTCCTTGAACTTCAAATAGTTGTCCCCAGATTCTGATTCCCTTCACCTTCTAATGTTCCTTACACTGTGCCGCATCCACAGCGTAGGCTGGAAATAAGGGTCTGTATGGCGGCTGAGCACAGTTGTGCAGTGGTCATTACGGACCTTAATATTTACTTCAGTAGTCACTCAGCATTAAGGTGCTATTTGAACTAGCAAGGACATGGAAGTCAGAACTTAACCGTTTATGTCACCTGAGCTCTAGGAGACAAGTGCTGCCATACTTTTCGGTCTGAATCCCAGTGTCTCAGGAAGTTGTTTCCATACTGTACATGTTCATTGCAGGTGGTGAAGCACTTGCCTAAAGCTCACATCCTCGCCTGTGCTCCTTCTAACTCTGGGGCTGACCTTCTCTGTCAGCGGCTCCGGGTCCACCTGCCGAGCTCCATCTACCGCCTCCTGGCCCCCAGCAGGGATATCCGCATGGTACCTGAGGATATTAAGGTACGTAGGCTCAATAGGATGACATGGAATTGGGGTGGGAGAAGCTTAGATCTGAACCCTTGCTGTGGGACCTTGGCTGGGTTGAGACTTCTGGATCTTTTTTTCATGGTTGTAGAGTGAGCGAGGGACCTTTTCCCTTGTTTGTAGAGTTGAGAATGGGTAGAGCTATGTTGATTCCTCTGTTGCTTCACAATCCACAGCCCTGCTGTAACTGGGATCCTAGGAAGGGCGAGTATGTGTTTCCTGCCAAGAAGCAGCTACAGGAATATCGGGTCTTAATTACCACCCTCATCACTGCCAGCAGGTGGGAAGTGTGTGCATGTATCTCAGTTGTAAGTGTAAGTACAGAGGGACAGGGCTAGGGAGACGGGAAAGAAGGGTCCATGGGAAGGGACGACTGCATTGAGGAGTCAGCTCGGGTAGTAAACATTTAAGTTAGGTAGTGAGGTGTCTGGGAACGACCCTGCCTGGCCTGACACCTCCCAGGTTGGTGTCAGCTCAGTTTCCCATCGATCACTTCACACACATCTTCATCGATGAAGCTGGTCACTGCATGGAGCCTGAGAGTCTGGTGGCCATAGCAGGTGAGGGGCTCAGAATGGCTGGCTGCAGGTGTGCCACCTTGCCTGGAATAAGAGAGGTCCCTTCCCCACTCACCTTTCTTCCTATTCCATCTCTGACTCCCAGGACTGATGGAAGTCAAGGAAACAGGCAACCCAGGAGGGCAGCTGGTGCTGGCAGGAGACCCTCGGCAGCTGGGGCCTGTACTACGATCCCCACTGACCCAGAAGTATGGGCTGGGGTACTCTCTGCTGGAGCGGCTGCTCACCTATAACACACTGTACAAGAAGGGCCCCAATGGCTACAACCCCCAGTTTATAACCAAACTGCTCCGAAACTACAGGTATTCCCATCTCTCCCCACGGACACTGCTGTCCCATACATGCCTTAGCTGGGGACTAAGGGCCTGTGTGATTCAGAAAGACTCGGTGCTGGTTTCTTTCTAGCCCCATCACCGCTGCCATAAGTTTTCATTCTGGACCACATGGCTAATCTGTATGCTAGCATAGGTCAGGAATGGGTCTGAGTTTCTAGGCAACCCAAAAGAAATGAGAAAAGCAGAATATAGGTGTTCTGTTTTGTTTTTTTTTTAAATAAGCATAGAGCTGTAAGCTATATACTGCTATTTTTATGGTGTTGTGTGTGTATGTGGTGCTTAGGTGTCAAGCCCATGGGCTTGCACAGGCTAGGCTAGCTACACCTTCACTTTCCCCTTCCCTTTTGAGACAGGTCTGCGTTGTCAAGCTGGGACTCAACTCCAGGGCTCAAGCAATCCTGGCCCAACCTTCTAAGTAGTTGGAGCTACAGATGTGTGCCACTGTACCCATCTTGTATATTTCTTTTAGAAAAGGACTATATATCCCGAGTGCCTGTAGCTCATATCTATAATCCTAGCTACAGGAGCCTGAGATTTGAGCACAGTGGTTCGAAGCTAGCCTGTAACAGGATTGGCTATGAGACGCTTATCTCCAGTTAACCACCAACAGGCTGGAAATGGAACTGTGGTTTAAGTGGTAGCACACCAGACTTACTTGAAAAAGCTAAGGGACAGAGCCTTGGCGCTGAGTTCAAGCTCCAGTACTGGCAACTACAATGATAACATCAGATATCAGAAATGCTTAGATTAGAATTGAAAGTATGGTGCAAGTGATAGAGTGCTTGTGTAGAAATGTCCTAAGTTCAAACCTCGGGATTAAATAAATAAATAATTATCTTAAAGCAGTAATCTCAGCTTACTTAGGAGGTTGGAGACCGCACCTAGAAAAATAACTTAGAAAAGCAATAAAAAGCTGGAGGTATGGCTGAAGTAGTGGAGTATGTGTGCAGAAAGCAAGATGCCCTAAGTTAAAACTCCAGTGCTAAAAACACCAGACTTTTAGATTATTTCTACACTATTATTGATGAGTCTAATAAATGTTAGTTATAGCATTCATATCTTAGGGTTTAACAAAGTTTATCAGCGGTGGTCATAGGAAATACTTTGTGTGTGTATTATGTTTTGAATGGGTCATTAGTATCTTAGTTTTCTAAAAAATAAAGTCATTCAGCTGGCCAATGAAATTCCTGGCCTGCCATGCTGTGTGAATCCACATTTCATTCTTCTGTGGTCTATAGTGACGTTGTGGTCTGGCTGTGACATTGAATGAAAGGCCTCCTGGGCAAGGAGCAGGAAGGTGGAAGCTGTGTGTGGGCCTAGGGCAGGTGGAAGGGGAGTCCCTGAAGGCTGGTAGAAACAATCCAACCCTCAGTCTTGTGTTTCCTTTTTCCTCCTACCTGTTAGGTCTCATCCCACCATCCTGGACATTCCTAACCGACTATACTACGAGGGGGAACTACAGGCCTGTGCAGACACAGTTGATCGGGAGCGCTTCTGCCGCTGGGAGGGTCTTCCCAGACAGGTGAGGCTGAGCAGAGCAGGCTCGGGTTCCCTACCTCGTACCCTGACTTGCTTCCTCCTGCTGAAGGAACGTGGCAGGAGGAACTTGAGTGCAGAGTGGATGCTATATTATCCTCCCTTTGTCATCTTGGCCAGGGACCCCTTATTTTCCCGGGAAGGGTGTCTGAGGGTTTCTACTTCTTACCCTATGTCCAGGGCTTTCCCATCATCTTTCATGGTGTAATGGGCAAAGATGAGCGCGAGGGCAATAGCCCATCCTTCTTCAACCCTGAAGAGGCCGCCACAGTGACTTCCTACCTGAAGCTGCTCCTGGCCCCTTCCTCCAAGAAAGGCAAAGCCCGCCTGAACCCTCGAAGTGTGGGGGTCATCTCTCCATACCGGAAGCAGGTCTGGCCTTCAGTTTGCAGCAAAGGTGGAACCTCCCCACAGCTGGCATCTCCCTAAATAGGCAGAGACTTAGGAGCCCCCAACCTCTGCCGCCCCTTATCTCAGATCTCAGAAGAGCACAGAGGTCAGGTGTCCTCAACCTCTTTGTCCCTCCTCTCTGGCATCCTGCCTGCTTCTTTCCTCTTGCTTTTGAGTAAGGGCACATAAGAGAGAAAGGCATTCTTCCTTTCCCTCCAGGTGGAAAAAATCCGCCACTGTATTACCAGACTTGACAGGGAGCTGCGGGCACTGGATGACATCAAGGACTTAAAGGTGACACACTATTCCACATTTGCTCCCTGCCTTCTGGGTACCCCTCACTTCTCCACTTTCAGAGCCCTCAGCTTGTGTCCCTGTCCCACTCCATTTTATGTTGAGACATTCCTGAGGCTCTCCCCAGGTAGATCAGGGATGAAATCAGGAGGCCTGTTTATTTAACAAGCACTTACGTCATTCTTACCAGCAGGCAGGTTTGAGGCCTCTGCCCGAAGGATGAAGTCCAAACTCCACGGTCTTATCTGTCATGTGACCTTGCCAGCCCTTTTCTGCCCCCATTCTCAGTAGCTTGGCTCTGAGGTAGTTGTTCACAGTACTAGATGCAGATAAAAACCACCTGGAGAGCTTTTAATACACCCAGTGCCAAGGCCCCACCCAGCCAATTAACGTTGCTGTCTGGGGGCAGAGCCAAAGCACTGGTATGTTTTACAGCTCCTCAGGTGATTTGAGGTGCAGCCAGGGTTGAAAACCACTGCTTTATGATTTTGAGGCCTCTCCCTTACAATTCTGATCAGGAGTTCTGGATTATACCCAGGGTTGTTATGATCCTACCAAGGTAGGACTTATGATTATCTTCAGAAAAGTTTCAGAAACACTGCTCAGTTACTAGTAGTCTTGGCCATGTTTGCTTTGCTTTGAACCCTTTCCAGGTCCACCCCATAGCTGAATAGGTTTCAGCTTCCATGGTATACCTCTTGTCCCTTTTCCTGGCCATCACAGCTTCCCTGTGACTTTGGTACCATCCTAGCAGAACAAGGCGCCCCTTCCCTTCCCTCCTTACCTCCCCGCCCCTGCCCCAGGCCTGTCCTTGTTCTCCTTGAGCCCACCTGGCCTCAGGCCCTGCCACCCCTCATCTTAGGTGGGCTCCGTGGAAGAATTCCAAGGGCAAGAACGAAGTGTCATCCTCATCTCCACTGTGCGAAGCAGCCAGGGTTTTGTGCAACTGGACCTGGACTTCAACCTGGGTTTCCTTAAGAACCCTAAGGTTTGAGGACTGGTGGGTGGCAGGAATTCTTCCTTCCTCAGAGTCCTTCCCTCCAGTAACTTCAGCACCTCTTTTCCAGCGGTTCAATGTGGCAGTGACCCGGGCCAAGGCTCTACTCATCGTAATAGGCAACCCTCTTCTCCTGGGCCATGACCCCGACTGGAAAGCGTGAGCATTCCCACCCCATAAATCCTTCTTGGTGGCCATAAGCCTAGCCTAGACCATGTGTCTTTGTTATGCCTCTGCTAGGCCTCACTGGATGTGTATGGGCTGTGTACCTTTGATGACTGGGGCCTGACCTCTGGTCTCCACCTCTGATGATGCACTATCTCCAGTACTACTTAGCCAAGCCTGCCTAGCGTCATGTGCCAACATCCTTGTACCCACAGATTCCTGGAGTTCTGTAAAGAAAACGGAGGGTATACTGGGTGCCCCTTTCCTGCCAAACTGGACCTGCAGCAGGGACAGAACTCACTCCTAGGTCTGAGCAAGCTCAGCCCCTCTACCTCAGGTATGAAGGGTCCAGGGAGATCTAGGGAAAGAAAAGAGGGGGATAAAAAAAAAAAAGACAAAAGTATACCTCCTTTCTTCCAAGGCCCCCACTGCCGTGACTACCTCCCCCAGGAGAGGGAGGGTGAAGGGAGCTTGTGCCTGCAAGTGGAGCCAGAGTGGAGGAATGAGCTCTGAAGATACAGCTGCCTGCCTTTGCCAGCTTTCTCACGCCAGCCAAGCCTTAACCGCTGCCCAACCCTGAACCTGAACCCAGCCCAGCTGCCCCTGGGAAGGACAGGAAGTCTGGGGAGGGAGTTTACAACCCAAGCCATTCCTCCCCTCCCCTGCTGGGGAGAGTGACATACCAAGCTGCTAACACTTGGGGGAAGGGAGGAAGAAAAACTCTTGAAAACAAAATCTTGTTCTATGCAAAAGCCTCTTGCTTATGTCTCCCCAGCCCCACCCCCAACTTCCTGTGCCCCCAAAATGACCCCTACAGGAGGGTGAGACTGTTAAGGTCTACCCAGAGGTGCCCCCTCCCCTCCATTTCCAAGGGAGGAAACCCAGTGGGCAGGGAAGCCACACAGATTTCTAAGTTTAGCCCCCACTACAGACCACTTCCCTCATCCACCTCCTGGGCTCACAGCCAGCCATGACCTCATCCCTTTGCTCTAGACTCCACCCTGCCTCAGTCCCGCCTTTGCCTTTCCGAATGGGGCCAGCCTGGCCAGCAACTTGGAAATGAATGAAGATGAGACGCTAGGCTTGCAGCAAAATTAGGGACCAGGAAAGACAGAAAGATGCCACACATTAGAACCTGCAGCCTTTATTCATGCCCCTACCAAGTACAGTCAGAGACAAGGCCATGCCCAAAGCAGAAACCCCATTTCACCACCCTAGACATCAGAAGTGTATAAAGTGCTGGTGTGACTGTCCTTTGGGGAAGGCCACAGGGAACAGGAGCCTCACCCCTGGACCAAGGTAACAGGACCACAGATCCTGCTCAGGAAGGGTAGGACACGGGGCCAAGAAGTTCCCAGAAGACAGGGAAGGGGAAGAGGAGAACCCACCATCACCATTTGGAGCTGGGGAAATCTGATGCAGTCATGGGCAGATGCAAATTGCAAAGGAAGCCTTTAGTGCAGAATTCTACAAAGGTGGAGTTTGGGTGGGTGAGTAATTGGTTACTCCTGTGTAAAGAAGGGTTGGGAGGCCTTCGTCTCAAAGAATGGGACAGCCCCTCCGGCGCTTATTCTTGCGAACCTGAAGGCCAGCCCTTGTGGCCATCTCGAATACCTCCCGTACCCCTTCCTTGGTCTTGGCAGAACACTCAAGGTAGCCAAAGGCACTGATCCTATTTGCCATATCCCGGCCTTCCTCAGACCGAACAGGCTCCTGAGAAGACAGAAGATAAGAGAGGTTAAAGGGAGCTAGTGCTAGGCTTGCTTCTCCCAAGGATACCATTAATAAGTAGAACTTGACTGGAGAACTTGATCCAACCCCACAAAGCACCCAAGCCCTGGCCAGCCCAGGGTTTTCAGGCCAGGGACCTAAGACTACATTCTAAATCCTCCCAATCTATTCCCTCTCTTTCCATCCAGCTCCTACACCCTACCAAACAAGTGGCCACTCCCTAACCAATCTCCTTGACTTGATTCATACTGGAGCTGCCATATTTTTTCCTAACACCTGACATCCATCCCCAGTTTAAAGTATTGTCATAATTATCTTCCCAGTACAGTCCAACTTCTTCATCTTGGCAGCTTCCTCTGATAAAGTAATCCTCTGGCTGGAGAGCCACTTAGCACATCCCCAAATGGCTTCTGGCTCTTTCTCCCTCACTCTCTATGGACCTTCTTAGAGTGCCTTCTGTCTCCAGGTGTGCCACTGACACAGCTTGTATACTCCAAGGGACAGACAGCTGTCTCTGAGGACAAGGACTGTCTTAATAGGCCCAGTTTGGAAAACAGACTAAACTAGAAGAAATGAAGGAGCCACGTGACCTTGGACAAGTCACTTTTCTTGGTATTTAATCAGATACCAAGGGCTCTTCAGGTTCTTGCCATGGCGTAGACAAGGAGAAGATGACCAAAGTCAACTCTAAACACTGCGGACTCAACTAAGAAGGCTGCCTTTGGTACCAGTCTGCTACCCGTAAGAAGGTCCCTTCTCCCCCAAGGGTTCCTAGTATGTGGTCCATGCACCTGCTTCATCTTGGCCAGCTCTCTCCTGGTATGCTCATCTTGTCTCAGGTCCTTCTTATTCCCCACCAGGATGATGGGAACATTGGGGCAGAAGTGTTTCACTTCCGGAGTCCACTTCTCAGGAATGTTTTCTGCACAGACGTGTCCCAAATGGTGTCAGTATCTCCACTTAGCAAAAGGCCCCTGGTCTATCCATGGCAGTATCAGACTATTCAACATGGCAATTCCTTTTACTGCTCAAAACCCCTCCCATACCCCATCTTCCCCCAAGTTTTCCCCATGGCCACCGTTGCCACAGGAAGAATCCACCCCCACCCCAAACAGCCTCTGAAGATGGCTGATTCCAGGGGTCTCAATCCCACTGAAGCTCACCCAGGCTGTCAGGGCTGTCAATAGAGAAGCACATGAGGATGACATCAGTATCTGGGTAGGAGAGAGGCCGAAGGCGATCGTAATCTTCTTGTCCTGCTGTGTCCCACAGAGCCAACTCCACCTGACATACAAGGGCCAGTGAGTAGCTGGCCAGTGAGTAGGGTGCCAACCCTTTGCCACCCAGAGGGCCTCTCTTAAAACCATTGGTCTTTAAATTCATTGAACATCTATTGAGTACTGTCACACAACAAACTAAGCTCTAAAATAATCTAGTTTGAAGCTGGGTGCTGGTAGCTCATGCCTGTAATCCTAACTACCCAGGAGGCTGAGATTAAAGATCACTGTTGAAAGCCATCCTGGCAAAAAAGTCCTTGAGACTCTTTCCTCCAATTAACCAGCAAAAAGCCAGAAGTGGAGATGTGACTTAAGTGGTAGAGCAATAATAGCCTTGGGTAAAACAGCCAAGAAAGATTTAAGGCTCCAGTACTGCCATTACCCAGCTGCCCCTCTCCCACAAGCAGGTGTGAGCACTATTCGATTTCACCTTTCCATCAACTCTTTGGAGGGAGCTCTTGCTATCATCTCCATTTTGCAGTGTGTGTGTGTAAATCAAAAAACTTTGGTCCAGCTTAAACAGCCAGTATGTGGTAGAACCAGAGCATGCATCCAGATTATCTAAGGTTACAGTTTATCTTCCCCAACTTTGAACTGGTTCCAGGAAGGAGAATGAAGCAGATTAGTGTGGGCGGTAAAGAAGGACAAACTAGGCCCATACATGGCAAGGTGCCAAGGTAGTGTAGAAAGAGGTTCTTAGCCCTCACCTGCTTGCCGTCCACCTCAATGTCAGCGATATAGTTCTCAAAGACAGTAGGGACGTAGACCTCTGGGAACTGGTCTTTGCTGAAGACGATGAGGAGGCAGGTCTTTCCACAAGCACCATCTCCTACAATCACCAGCTTCTTCCGTATTGCAGCCATAGCTAGGGTGACAGACAACAAGCATAGGGGATTTGGGAGGGGAGAAAAAATAACTTTTTTTTTAAATTGTCAGAACAGGGGCTTAAACTCATCCTTAACTTTTTTGCTCAAGGCTGGTACTCTTATCATTTGACTTACAATTCAACGTCCAGCTTTTTGCTGGTTAACTGCAGATGAGTCTCATGGACCTTCCTGCACCAGCTGGCTTGGGATCTCAAGCTTCAGCTCTCAGCCTCCAGAGTAGCTAAGTTTTACAGCTATGAACCAATGGTTTCAGGCAAAGATCACTTCTAGGCTACCCTCTACCCCTCCACCCTTTTCCTTCCCCAGCCTTCAAGAAAGGAAAGGAGAAAAGTGGACTTGCCCAGGTACAGTCTTCCCAAAACCAATCCTGTAAGCAGAAGACCTTGGAATTCCTGGTCTCTGGTGAGGGGCATGTCTCCCCTTTGGGTTAGAATAGAGAAATGGGATGCAGAACAAGCCCAATACTTTAGAGCTAGAAAATGTGTTTCATTCATTCAGCTGGGGGACCCCAGACACCTAGGCTCCAAAAGAGCTTTTATCTGCTTTGCATAGGGGAGTTTTATGTGAGACTTCAGTTGTTAAAAGAATTTCAGGATTCTGATACATTTAAAGGTTACTAATCACTAAGATGCAATCTAGTACAGACTGTCCTGTGCAGTAGTCATGCCTGCCTCATCACAGGAATTCCTCTTCAAGACTAAAGACCAGCAGAACCAGATACAGGTAGTGGATGGGTAAGGCCAGACGTATTTGTAGCGTCCTTAGGTGTCCCACACTATGTTGGGCATTTGGATGAAAAGCTCCTCAGTCCCCAGGTACCTGCCAGGTGGATGGTATACTGCCCACAGTGACACACTTGGAAATTAAGACTCAGTAAAGGTTAGTCATGAGATTCAGAGTCTGGCACCTAATCTTCAGAGACAACACTCAAAGCGGGGCTGTGTGGCTGTAGTCTGTGCCATCTTTCCATGTCACTTCACAGGTGGAAAGGCGAGCAGAAGCAGTGAAATCCAAACAGAAGACAGTGGCAACAGCCAGCCGGCTTCCCTGGACTTACCCCACCCTCTCCCCAAAGCCTCCAGTCACACAAAGCAGGCTCAGTCCTGGCAGTGCCCACAGCTCTCTTGCATTCGGGCAGTCTGCACCCCCCTCCCCTTCCTCCCCGGCCTGGCACCAACACTAGGTCACTCAGCTCTCAGCAGGGGACAATGACCACACTGTAGGGAGCCACACATCCACCACAGCAGCGACTGAGAATCCACTTGAGAAATCACCTCCACCCACTCTGCCGCAGCCCCTTCCTTCTCCGGCCCAGCTCGCTCTTAGGCTCTACCCACCCCTCCCTGTGACTCAGGGGAGGGAATCAGCTTCCTTGAGTAGTAGGCCTGTGTCCCACTCCACAACACACAGGGACAAGCAGTTAGTTCCTCACACCTGCAGTTCATCACACCTTCACAGCTTGCTTCCCTCACTTCCTCCTTCCCTAGGGAAGGGCTGAAGCTCCTAAGCCAACAGTCCAAGAGGAAGAGGGAGGGCTGTTGAGCTGTTGGAAAAGGGGAGGGGGCTGGAGCCTGGGCTGGGAGGAGCCTCAAAAGAGACAAATGAGGCCAATCCCAGCACCACCCAGACAGGGAGCAGTTAAGCTGGGGAAGGTAATCTGATCTCAGCTCCAAACCTGGCTTTTTTTCTCTCAGTCCCACATCCTGTCAGGCTGAGCTGAACTGCTTTACTCAGGCATACCACCACCACCACTACTACCTCATGAACTCACCACCCGCCCTTTAGGAAGCAGAACTCTCCAGCCCCAGGCTGATTCTCCTCAACCAGGATCTCATCTCTACACACACACACATTCAAAAAACTGCAAGTGGGGAAGAGGACATGAATCACAGAGAATTTATAGGAGTTGAGAGTACACTGGCACGCTCTCCCCCACCACAAAGAGACTCTCTGATGGAACCCCAGAAGGCAGTCAAGAAGGCATCCAGCCTGCCGCTGCCAGCAGGCTCTCTCCAAAGAGGGGTCCTTTGGAAGTCTACCCGGTAACTGTGGTCCATTTGTAGGATTTCTTCCAACCCCAACTGTACAGATAGGCTGGCAATAGTTCCAACCACGAGTGGACAGTGCTGCTACAAGTCAATCACTGTGCTAAATACACAATTATGGTCACTTAAGTGTAAGTGTGCACTGCGGGACCCCAGGAAGGCAGCTGGCATCAGATGGGTAGCAGTAGAGGCCAGAACTGGGGTCAGTGACATGCATTAAGTGGCCTGATAGCCCAGCCCAGTTAGAAGACTTTCTTGGTTAGGCCAAAAGACAGGAGCTGGCAACCTAGGCCAGGCCAGTAGGCACAAGGCCAAGATGGCAAGACAACAGCTCCCTGTGAGAGGCAACCCCCATGGATCTGCTCCACTGACCCTAAAAGGGACAACGAAATCTCACTTTGGGCCTGGAGTGGAGTCTGGAGAGGGGCCTGGAACGTCTGGAAACTTCCCTGAGACAAGATACTGTGGATCTTCTAGCTCTTTCCTCAACCATTCTCCAGATAACCCAGGGGGGCCCTGTACCCTGCCTGCTTGCTTCTCGGGAAGTCTGGGGAAGGAATCGGTCCTTTGGAGATCGCTCTTCCTCCCCTTTAAAGCCACAAGTGTGGGAAGCTCTGGGCCTCGGATTCCCCGATGCAAGAGAGTCTTTTAGCTTGGTTTGGGAGTGTGAAGGAAGGACAAGAATTTTACACACACAAACACACAGAGGATCCCCCTCGGTCCCCCCCACCCCAGCATCCGAGGCAGCGACAGACCCCCTCGGCTGTCAGTCCCCACGGGCCACACCCGCCCCATTCCCGCTCCCACCACCCTCCCGGCCTGGGGGAGCTCCCACCCCAGCCGGCCCCGGCCCCACGTCGGGCCGCCCCGCCGGAGCGGGAGCGCGGGAGGCCAGGAGAGAGCGGGGGTGGTCGAACCCCACAGGAGAGAACCCCTGCCCGGCAGTTACCGGGGTTCCGTGCTTCCGCTTGGGGAGGGGGCGCAACCCCTCTCCCCGACCGCGCCCCGAGCTCCATTCCCTGGGAACAGCGCACGCCGGGGAAGGAGCACCGGGGACGCCCCGCCACCCCGCCCCCACCCCAGTACCTTCTGCTCGGCCGGCTCCAGCTGCGCGGCCGGCGCCGGAGGCTGCGACTGACCGGGGCGGGCTGGAGGGGGCGCCCCGCCCTCGCGGGCTGGGGCGGGCCCGGCAGGGGGAGGGTCGGGGGGGCGGCCCTGAGCTCGGCCCGCCCCTGCCTCTGCCCCCGGCCACGGCGGGCGCTGCCCCGGGGTGGCACGGAGAGATGCCCCGGCAGAGAAGGAAGGGGCGGCGATCGGGGGTGTGGGGGAAGCCGGAGCGCCCCACCCCACACCCCGAGGATTTACCCTGGGCCCCGCCTTCCAGCCCCTCGGGGCGGACCGGCGTCGGGAAAGTTGAGAGGCTCCGGGAGAGGGGTCAGGAAGGGCGAGGCTGCCCTCCGGCGGCCAAACAGCCCCACTCGGGCCTCGGGAGATGGGGATGGGGCGAGCGCGCAGGGGACGCGCCGCCGCCGCGCGCGCGGAGCCCAGGCCGAGCCGGGACGGCCGGAGGCAGTCCCAGCCTTTGAAGGCCTCAGGATCTACCCGTCCTGACCACCATTCTGTTCTGTCTCCCGAGTCCTGTCCTTCCGAATCCAGCTCCTACGTAGTTTTCAGAGCCCCCCCCCCCACCCCCGTGGAAAGGCTTCCGGCTCCCCGCTGGGAACTCTCCCCACTCCGGATCTATTACCGTGCCATTACTATTGCTCCACCGACTGGCGCGTTGCACAGGGTATTCACCTACCCTGAGGAGGTGGAGAGAGGCGAGGAAGTCTGCCAACCTTTTATTAGCTTGTGCTTAATATGCTTCATAGCTGAACTGGGAAAGTAGTTGAGATGTAGCCTAGTAGTGGAGTGATTGCCTGGCATGGGTTGGGTTCACATCACCTGTATGGCCACCAGCATTGGCAGCATTGTAATTCCAACACAGGGAGGCTGAGGTAGGTGGGTTTCCAGTTCATATAGGCAGCCTAGACTAAAGAGTAAATTCAAGATCATCCTGGGTTTTATTGTGAGACCCGGAGTCAAAAAGAAAGAGGAAGGGAGAGAGGAAAGAAGAGAGGGAGTAAGGGAGAGAGGGAAGAAGGTAGGAAACTAACAAAAGTGGCTCTGCAAATGTTTGCAATCTGTGACAGCAAGAATTGCAAGTTGGGCCTGTGTTGTCTTCCCTTGCCTATCACTGCCTAGCCAGTATGGGGCACATATTTAATGAATGCATGTTAGAAGACATATAGATCTTAAAAACCTGATACTGTACATCTAATTTTTTTTTTTAAAAAAGGAAATTGGGGCACAGAGCAATTTGCTCACCAGACCTCTGTGTGTGTGTGTATGTGTGTGTGTGTGTGTACTGATGCTTGACTCTGCTTAATGTTCTTGCTTAGCTAGTACTCTACCATGTGAGCCATGCCACTTCTTGCTTCCAGCTTTTTTTGCTAGTTAGTTGGTGCTAAGAATGTCATTGATTTGTCTGCCTGAGTTGGCTCCAAACCTCCATAGTAAGATCTCAGGCTTCTGAGTAGCTAGGATTATGGGCTTGAACCACCAGTGCTCTAACAGGCCTCTTAATATGCTCAATGAACTTTTATTGTGAACTGAACATTAGGTGCCAAGGTGAATTTCTGCCTTCAAACCATTTACAGCCTAAAGAATAAAGACAGGGGCTGGGAATGTGGCTTAGTGGTAGAGTGCTTGCCTAGCATGCATGAAGCCCTGGGTCTGATTCTTAGTACCACATAAACTAAAAATTAAAAAAAAAAGCAAAGAAGTAAAATTAAAAGAGGAAAAAAAATCAAATATTAAAAAAATAAAGACAATTCCAAGATAGCTAACGTTTATTAAATTATTACATGGACCTTGCTCTACATACTCACAACTCAACTGATAGCAACCTTAGAAAGCAGCACTGTGATCTGCTTGATACTGCAAAAGGGAGTCTCAAAGGGCTTACAGAGCCAATGTCAAGTCTGGCACCAGAATCTAAACAGCTGGACTCTGGAGTCTCTGCTCTTTAACTTCTACTTCTGTAGCTCTTTGATAAGCTGTTATAATCCAGGAGGTAATTGCCATGAAGGGCATGCATGGGCTGTGGAATGCCCAGTCCTGGACAGGTGAAGTATTCAAGAAAAAGGAATGTGTAGATTTTAAATAAAGTTGGAGCCACTACAGGCCCACAGGGCTCTGGGAATTCCAGAAGAGCAGTGATGGTGGTGGTGAGGATCTTCATGAAACTAGAGAAGGCTATAATAGATAGCTAGATAATGAAGGTCTTATGTGACAGTCTTACAGAACAGTCTCAGGGACTGAATATAAATTCTGTTCTAGTTATAATAAAGAGCGGTTAAAGTTAAGAAGCTTATTTAATAAAAAAAAAAACTAAGGTGACAATGGAAGTGATGGTATGTGGGCAAATACCATTTTTTAAATATATAATCAAGGTCAGGCATCGTTCATGCCTGCAATTCCAGCTGCTCCAGAGGTGGAGATTGAGGGGTTCATGGTTTAAGCCCAGCCCAGGGAAAAAAAGCAAGACATGTGGGAGGTCCAGAAGGATTGAAACCTAGGACAACCTGCGTGTGTATGAGGAGGCAGGGGGAGACATGTGAGATCTTACCCAAAAACTAAACAAATTTAAAAAGGGCTAAGGGCATGGATCAAGTGGTAGAGTGCCTAGCAAGAATGAGGCTAAGAGTTCAGACTCCAGTAGCTATATATGTACAACAGTACAGTCAGGCATTCCTCAATGGTGAGGGTGTTATGAAAAATTCATTGGTGATTTCATTGTGTGACCAGCATACCATATAGCATATTTATACAAGTGGAACCACCTAGTACACACCTAGGTTATCTGGTATATACTGTCATATATGCAGGTGATTTATTGAAACATGGCTCACTTCCTGATAGTAACCAAGTCCAATATTTCTAACTTGAGCAGCCAAGTTGGTGCCCACTGAGAGGATGAAGGAGAAGGGCCATATTTATGGGAGGAAATGACAAGTTCAGTTTGAGGTATGTTGAGGCACGTTGAGGCTGTCTCCTGTCTAGATGTGTGGGAGATAACTGGGATATATGAATCTATAAAAGGTTCAGCTGGAAACAAGAAGGCAGATGGATGAAGTCACAGAGATTGATGCAAGTACTCCCAGCAAATGCAGGAAGTGGGAAGAGGGCATAACAGAAGACAGGCCTAGAGAAACATAGGACTGTTAATATTCTTTCTATCACTCCAAAGAGTTTTTTCCATACTTTTCAGTGTTTAGTCAGAGAAAATAAAGACACACACACGTATACACACACACACACACACACACACACACACACAACTTTATCCATCTGGTTTATTTGCCAATAGCTGTAAATGACCACTAAGGAAGAGTTAAGGAGACAACTTCAGAATTTGGACTGGGAGAGGGGTAGGTATGAAGAGGCTAGGATGGTAGTAGGAACAATGGGGTTGTGAGCCCCTCAGGAGTAATTGCCTGGCCCTCCCAGGGGGATAACGAAGACTGAGATGTCATCCCCGGAACCCAGCTTGTTGTTTGGGAGACGCCAGCCACGATCCCGGGGGGTGCCCCGGGCCCCCAAGACCAGAGCTTGGGCCAGAGCTGTATACCTGCCAGGAGCACATGTGCACACTCATGTTCTAACATGTATATGAGAAGCCAGATACAAAGGCCCACAAGTAGGCCTTACTTCCCTTTGCCCTTCTGTCACCATTTGCCATCCCCTCATCACTAGGCCATGCAGCCCCTACCTGCTGGGGTCATTGGGCTCATAGGCCGACAGCACCCTGTCCACAGTGGTGGCTACCTCAGAGTCATTGGTGACATCCCACAAACCATCAGTTCCCAGGACTAACACATCATCTGGACAGTGCTCATACTGTGTCAGGTCATATACTTGTACCTGATGGGAAAGGAGTAGCAAGAACTGAGCTGTGGGGTTTGGGATTTGCAGTTCAGATTAAGAGACCTTGGGTGTGAGCCAGCTTGAGGAACATCCCTTCTCCCTGCCCCGCGCAGCCCCCCCCCCTGCCTGAGTAAAGATGGAGTGCTCACCTCAGGAAAGCAGGAGAGGAAGGGCTTGATGGGCAGGGTGGAACTGCAGACCTTAAGGTTGTGGTCTCCCAAGCCCCGGGTCACCCCTATGGTGGCCATCACCCGGGCCTGAGGGAAATGATGAGGGGTGCTGCTATTTCGGCCTTTCACAGACTCTCCGAAAACTATAGATCCCTCCCATCCTCTACCCTGGGCTAGAGCCTATACCTTCTTAGACAAATGAAAGCGGGCCCACTGCCCTCTCCCACCCCCTCCCACCTCTACTATGGAGTTTACCTTTTTGCCTTCCCCACACACCAGAGGAAATCTGAGATCCTCCAGTTCGATCTTTTTGTAGGCCCTAGGGAAGGGGGAACAGAGGAAGCATCACTGTGCAGCCAAACTCCTCTTCACTAGTGGTTGCACACCCCTCCTTGGAAGGACCGCATCCCCCCCACCCCCCCAGGCATCAGCTTCCACCTAGCTGCTGGTGAGGGACTGGTTGTGTTGTCATGGGAACAGCCCCAGCTCTGAGGGAAGTGTTACCAGCCAGTCATGTTCTGGTCCCTGTAAAGCATCCTCTGGCCCAGCTCCTTGGGCTGAACTCTGCGGGGGAACTCGAGGTGGGTGAATTCACTGCCCAGCAGCTCTGGTTTCAGGAAGCCCTGAAGAGGTTGGGAAGGGCCAGTCAGAGCACAAGGATGGCATATTACATTCATGACACCCTGGTACAACATACAAATGATGTTAATTATAGTAGATCTTTATATAAAGTTTGCCACATGCCACACACTGTTTGAATGTTAACATATGTTAACTCATTCACACCTCACACCAACTCATGATATACAGAGGTTAATGTAATTGTCAAAAGTTCCCACTATTAGCAAAACATAGAAACCAGGATGTGATCCCAGGCAGAGTTAATGTGTTGAAGAACAAAACCCTACTGAGTCAAGGGCCTTTGCTGTTCCTTTATCCCACTTCTGACTGTACTCTCTTTCTCAGCTGGAGTCACAGTATGGACACAGGGCCAGCCAGGCTCCTTCCTACTACATTATCCCACCAGCTCAGCCCTGCTCTCCACAGTCCACACAGCTGCCCTGTCCCCAGAAAGCTTTGATATGGGTGTCAGGGCTATGAGAGTTCTTAGGGACACAGTGAAGAGGTAAAGCCTCAAAGAATGGGCATAAGGAGTTTGTCCTACTTACAAGTAGCTGAAGCCGCTGCCGCTCGGTCTCCGGGGTAAACTCCCTGGACATAGGAATGACTTCACCATTCCGGACAATGATGGCTCTGAACAGAGACAGAAAAGGTTCTCCTAGCCAGGCACTAGTGGCTCATCCCTATAACCCTAGCTTTTCAGGAGGCTGAGATTGAGGATTGTGGTTCACAGCTAGCCCTGGCAGAAAAGTCTATGAGACTCTTATCTCCAATAAACCACCAAAAAGGCCAGAGGTGGAGCTGTGGCTCAAGTGGCACAGCACTAGTTTTGAACAGAAGAAGCTCAGGAACAGTGTCCAGGCCCTGAGCTCAAGCCTCAGTACTGGCACCAAAACAAACAAACAAAGCTCTCCTCAGCCCTCTTTGTTGAAGTTTCAGAAAGATCAAACCCTTCTAATAATTACCTTTAGGATTCCTCACCTGGACCCCATCTTTCCTCTTCTCTCCCCTTTGATCTTTTATTTTAGCCTCCACCACCTCACTCTCTCTATCCTATCATCTGAGAGGTTGTGGCCCCTTATAACCACTTTCAAAGTTCTCTTCATACCTGCTATCACCTGCATTGGCCACATACACCTTGCCTAGCAGATACACCACAACAAGTGCACAGCAGCCCCCATCCACTTGGTAGCCACGACGCTCCTGGGCCATCTGTTCATCCTGCCAAGTGAGGAAGGGTCAAAGGAGAGTGGAAGAAGAACTTGCAGGCACATGATTACTCTCCCCACACCCATCTGCAGAAATCATCTGGCTCAAACAGCCCATACAGGGAAAGGAGCAATACACAGGACGGAGGGAGTATCCCTTCCCTTCCCTTGAGAACCAAGCTTCACATAGGCTCTCAAAGGTGTTACACATTCTCAGTACCACTCCTTGAGCCTAGAGTGAACCCGAGTGTCTGCCTAGCGGGCCCTTAGCCTAGGCCTACCCACTTACCATGAGCTGGAAGGCATTCTCAATGGCTCCTATTACCAGGCTCTCGTGGGTCACTTCCTTCTGTGAAGACCAGCAGGACTGAGGGCCAACCAGGTGAGAGGTATTGGAGTAACTTGGAGACCCTGGGGTGGATGGGAGGCAGAGAGGAGGTGGCAAGGGGTCCTGAAGTATGTCTACCAGATCCTTTAGCTGTTCCTGGATGTGACGATGCAGGAGCCGGGAGGCCATTTCTGCAGCTCCACCTCCAGCATGCCCATCAAACAAACCCCAGTAGTAGAAGCAGAATCCCTGGTAGAAAAAAAATTGAGGGAGGGAGAGAGAATAAAACTACCATCCATATAAACATCAGTGAGGCAAACAGCTTGTGATGAAGGGCAAGTTAGATTTATTCACTTATTCATGCAGGGTCTACATAAATAATACAAGAAAGAGGACAAAGAGTCCCTGTCTGTGATTAAGTCATCCACAAATACATAAACACCTGCATTTTTTTTTTTCTTGGTGGTATTAGGGTTTGAACTCTGAGCTCATGCTTGCTAGGCAGATACTCTACCACTTGATTCCCAGCCCCAGCCCAAAGCATCTGTATTTTAAGAGGAAAAGGAAACATTTATACAAACATGGTGGAATTTCACAAAGCAAAGCCATGTGAGGCTTTGCCATATGGGAAGCCTAGTGAATTATGTGGCAGCTCTTCTACGTGTCTCAGGTTTAAAACTAGATGCCTAGATGCCTAGAAAAGAGGGCCAAGGCTTACCTGACTTTGGCTAGCCTCTCTAGGGGCCCCTGTAACACTCCTCCTCTGGCTGTCCACGTACACCACTTCACAGCAAGCCTGGTCCTCATTGTGCCGGCTCTTGCCAGCATTGATGACCCTGCCAGGCCAGAGTGACCACATTAGGTTGGACACCAGACCAGATCCCGGAATAACCCCCTACTTTAGTAGACACACACATCCTTTTCTGGCCTGCTGGCTAAGCTTAGAAAGGTCACAGCTGCCTGGGATGGAGGCCAGAGAGAAGAGAAGGGAGGGCCAGCAAGGAGTACAGTCTGGGTGACAGGCCCTTCCACCTCCTAGAAAGGGTGGTGGCAGCACCTGTGGGTCTAGTTCCCCCATCCTTGGCAAAGGTGGCTTCCGGAGTGGTGCTGCTGGGGGAGGGGCCATATAGAAGCAGGAAGTTGTCCTTCTTTCTGACCAAGACCCTCCATCCCCTCCTAATTTCCATCAGTCCTTTTGTCCTCACCATGCTGCACCATCTCTCTAAAGCCCTGCAGCCAACCAAAGTTCTGCCCCACTGGCAATGGGGAAGGGCTCCCTAGGAGGGGGAAAGAGGGATTGAAATAGACTAGATGTGTGACCACACCTGGACTGGGCAAGAACCATGCAACCACAGACTCCTCCAGCTGAAGGGCTAAAGCCAACTCCCTCCCAGACCTCAGGGGGCAGGGGGGGGGGGGGCGGGCTTGGCTTTCCCAGCAGGTGTATTACAAATACACTTAGCCTGGGAGCAAGAGGCCAGCCGACCAACCAGCGTCTACTTTCTTGTCCCACCAGTGCAAGTCTCGGGGTGGCGCCCCCCACCCCCCCTCCCCTGTCCCGGGAAGGCAGCGGCCTCCTGGTGTCGCGGGCTATTTCTGGGTGTGGAGGGGGAGGGGAACGGTAAGAGGGACAGGGAACTGGGACGCTGCGCCCAGGAAGCCGGTTAGCGAATCTTTTCAACCACCATTTCCCTATAAGAAGGAAACTAGCTTCTTCTGGAACCTTTCCTCCCCTAGCCTTGAAATTGCCGACTTGCAACTAAGAACTGGCTAACTGATCCCAAGCGGCGCCCCCCTCCCCTCCCCCCCGGTCCCCGCCGCCCTCCCGTGTGTGGGAGGGAACCCGGTCCTGATGCAGCCACGATGATCCACGAGCTGCAAGGTCCTGACGAAGGTGATTCCGGCTGCCCCGACTGGAGAGAGGGATGGAAGCGGGTGCGATCCCCCGGGAAGGTCCTGGCCCAGACCGCCGCGCCGGGGACACATCCCAGTACCCCAGATGCCGAGCTGGGGAGGGGTGCGAGTCCCGTGCTGCTCGGGATGCCCCAGGGAGGGGGGCGCTCACTCGGCGTAGCCCGTGCTCCAAGGCAGGCGGCGACCTGTGTCCGGGGGGCTCTGCACCACCCGGCCCGCGTGGTCGTCGGCGCGTCGCAGCCCCCGCGGACTCAGCTGCAGAAAGGTCGGTCTGGAGAAGCTCGCGCGAGCCTCCGGGGTCTTCGCTGGCGCCCCGCTGCCGCTGCCGCTCGCGGTCCCGGGCTTGGCAGGCGGGCTCTTGGGCGCTCCTGGAGCGGCTGCCGGCGACTCGGAGGTTGCACTGGGCGAGTCCGGGGATTTGGGGCGCGGAGGCGCAGCGCCTCCGGAGCTCACCAGGTGCGCCACGGCCGAGCGCACTCGGTTTAGCATGCTGCCTCCCTGCCCCGCCCTCCGCATGGCCCCGCCCTCCGCGTGGCCCCGCCCTCCGCGTGGCCCCGCCCCGCCCAGGCCCCGCCCCTAGGGCTCCGAGTGGGCGGAGCTCTATCGGGGGGGGGGGTACTTTCACTGGCTCTGGGCCACCCCGGGAACCGCCCCGCTGGTTCTGAGCCTCTGCCCCACCCTCTCCCGGCTGTGTCGCACCCTGGTTTCTCAAAGGAATAATCGGGGTCTGTTGTGGGAAGTGGGTGGAGGCAGGGAAACAGTATTGCAGTCCGGTTGAGTGAGACATCAGTAGACTTTTCCAATTGTGACGGGGGTGGTCCCTCCCTTGGGGGACCGGTGTGTGAGGAGCCGATGACCTCAGCACAAAACAGCCACTTCAGGGCCCCTGGGTGTGAAGCACCTGGTGTGACTCCACCTCTGGTTGAAGTCGCCCAGATCAGCGACGTCCGTGAGCTGGTGCTTCACCCAGGGATGAGTGGGTGCCACTCTGGGCGCAGCCCATCTTTCTGGATCGGGCTGCTGGGGTAAATTCCTAGGCTCTTGAAAGCCGTGTTCTCTCTGAAGGCCATCTTCACATCCGGGAGAGTGGTTGACACTCCCACCCCGCTTTCTTTGCCAGAACCTTTTCCTTCATAGTTAGACTTCCTTGTCTATTATTTTGTGGTAAAGAGAACAAAATCACGATTTATTGAGGACTTACTGCACACTAGGCCTTACACAACAAAGACGTTCCACTGCCCACTAACATGGATGAGGCTGGACGGGACGCCTCTGTCATTTTATGTGACTTACCCTAAGAGATCATACAGCCACTCGGAAATTCATGCTCTATCTGCCACCTGATACCCAAACAAGGTTCTGACCTAAGAACCAAGTGATTTCTTTGGACTGAAGAGGAAGTGTTAGGAAGGAGAGGATGACCAGATGGATTCATGCTCTCTCAAACCACTTGAAGAGAGATTGAGAGTAGATTCCAGATGTTGAGCAAGTTCTCTGGCTGACACCAGGGGGAGACAGAGGCCAAACTAAACACTTGACAAAAGTGGAAAAGCCCACTCCTTGGAAGACTATAGGAGGGTAGTATAGAGCTAAGACATGAAAAGCTCTATCCTTAAGCTTGGTGTCAAGGAGTTGGTCACCCGGAGTTCAGAGACACCTGGCTCCCAACACAGTACAAATGAGGGCAAGTTATTGTCCTAACACCAAGGGAGGCTGTTAGGGACCACTGGCAACTGATGCATGGTTGTGACTCAATTTAGGTTCTATCCACTGGGTGCTTCCTGACCATATCCCACTCTGCTCTCCAGGCTAAACTGTCCCAAGAAGGGATGGCTTTCTTGGCAGCTCATAAGTAAACTCCTACAATGGTCCTTCAGATGTGTATAGTTGCTGTACTAATCCCTGTACTTTAGGTAGAAAGAGCCAGAAAAATGAAGTCACAAACAGAAAAAAAAAAATTAGAAACAAAAACAGAGCAGCAAAGGCAGCTGGGGACAAAGAACACACTGCTATGATGGGCGTTCTGTTTGAGAAAATCAGCCAGCTCTGATAAATGGCATCACATCAGCAGGGAGCCAAAGACTGAAGGATAAAAAGCACATAACCCGTGGCTATTTTTATTATTCAGTGTTTCTGGGACAGTTTACTTACTGCATCTCAGTGTCACCCAGCTTCCTATCCCTTGCTCTTTACACCAAGGTGTGGCTGTTAAAGTGGGCCACAGAACTAGAAGACCCCTGACTCCAGCACTAGATCAGCCAACAAGAAAGCCCATGATTTCTTGGGTTCTAGTCCCCAGCTATACCCAAACCCCTGGGCTCTCCTCTCCCTGAGCCTTGTAGCTTTCCTAGAGTCATCATATCTCTTGAACTCTCAGACCTGGCAAGGAGGTCATCACCTTGCCTCATTCCCTCAGGCAGTCGAAGTGAGAGGAGACGGGGGAGGAGGGAGGCAGACTTGTGGGTGCTTTCATTGCTGAGAGTTAACATACTTTATTGAGTGATCTGTTCATATGGGAGCACAAGGCCTGAGCCAGAGAGAGACAGGACAGATTTGAGATAGGCCTTTTATCCCAAGGCTCAACACTAACCCCTAGCCCCCCTCAACACACACACACACACACACACACACACACACACACACACACACACACACACTATCCCCAAAACCCTCTTAGCGAAGAAACACCTGTTTCCTGTGAAGAGACAAATGAACAAAACATCTCTGCCCCCCCCTTGTGTCAGATAACATCCATATCCAAAATATAACCCTGTAAAGAATGACACAATCGAATATATTACAGTTTTCCTGATGAAGAAAGTTCCAGAAGCTTCCTGAAGCTAATAAACACTCTAAGTAGCATTTGAAGAAGAACTGAATTGTATTTAATGAGTGTAGATGTAAATTGAAATAGCAGCTTGCAAGTACTGAATTGAACAGAGGCTTTCTAGAGTCTTCAAAACTCAGAAACACATGCAAGTCTGGGTGAGGACTCCTCACTCCCAGCCCTTTTCCCTTCCACCTCCCCTGAGCCTGCAGAACTAGGGATCTAATCCTAGGGTGGCAGTGTGGAAAGACTCGCTCCAAGCTGTCCTGGTCTGCACCCGTGAGCTGTCCATCAGCATGGGACTCAAGCTCTTTTCTCTTCTCCTGTCCTGTGCCGCCAGGGGCCGCTGCGTGCAGGCTGTCCCCGCCGAGCACCCCTCCTACTAGCTTAAGGAGTTGGCAGAGCCCTGGGGGTCGGAGCAGCCTGGCGACCCCAGGCTAGGAGACAGTGGCTGCGCGCTTCCCGACAGAGCTGCGCAGTCCCCGCCTGCAGGAGCGGAGCCCGGAGCGCCCCGGTGTCCGGAACCAATCACACTGGGTGAGGGATGCCAGCTTAAGTAGCACCCCGCGGTGCTCGCCGCGCAGCAACGCGGTCACAGACTAGGACAGCGCTTCTTAGGAAGGACAGCACCTAAACTTGCAGCGAGCTTTGCAGAGTCTTAATCCTTTGTGCAAAAGCAGAAAAGACCTCAAGCCAGCAAGTTGGATCATGAGGGGCAGGTAGGTCTCGGGTGTGGGGACCCAGAATTTGCAGGGCGCTGAATGGGGGCGGGAACAGGTGGGGAGAAGTCTCAGGTACTTCGTTGGTCCACATCCTTACTCTCTTTCTGGTCTGTAGGCTGATCCATCAGTCTCACCCACAGTCTGCATTGGAGCTTGGGGCCAATGGGCTGGGAAACTAAAACAGAGAATGAAAGCTGATGAAAGAAATCCCAGAAGCATCTTTTCTAGTGCCGTTTAAGGGAGTGAACAGAATGCCAGAGATCCTGCCTTCCCATGCCCCTCTCTATCCCAGGTGGATTAGATTGGAGCCTGTGACCACTCAGAGAAATAGCATCTCCTAAGAGAACACCAATTTACATCTGTAATGGTCAGCATGAGAGTTCCTGAAGGCAGGGTGAGGAAGAAGCTACTCAGAATAACAGCCCATGGTGATGGGTGGGAGTTGTCTGCCCATGGGCACACCCTTCCTGTGGGTGTTGGCATCACTTCTTCCATCTGCCATTGCCCCTTTATGCCTGAGACCTGGACACAGGATACTTTGTCTTTCCTGGGCCTCCTAGCCTGTGAGTTTTACTTCTGTCTCTGTTGGAGGTTGAACCAAGAGAGAAAAGAGAATAAAGAGGCTCTTGGGGGATTGTAGCCTCCGAGGCTCAGAAACTGTGGCACCCCCATTCTATTCCTGGAGGAGACGGGAATGACTGCAGAATTAAGCCAAATCTATTTGAGTCCTTGAAGCAATGGTTTGGGGGGGGGGGAGGAAGTTATGATAAAGAAGATTCAGGGCCCCCTGGAATCTCCCTAGTGGCCTCTTCCAGTGTGATCAGATGGATTCTGCTGAGAAACCCATCTTTGACCCTTAAGTCTGTCCCAAGACCTGAGAGATGACACCACTGATTCTTAGGCCCCACCCACCCCTGCTTTACTCCTAGGGCAGAGAAATTCCTGGCCACTTGTCTCAGGCTTGCCTGAGTCTATAAGAACCCCTCATGTGCTTCAGGCAGAAAGACTCTGCCCTTATCCTGGGAATAGCTTCAGAACTGACTCTACTGGCGTGCCCAGCCCACCCCCTTCTCCTCTCCCAAACTTTCCTTCACCCTCTCTGGAGGCCTGGACTCTCTCTGTTCCTTACAATCCCTCAAAACTCTTTTCCACTTGTCAAGGTAGAGTCAGTCTGAGGCCAGCAGATGAGCAAACAGAAGCTGAAACATCTCCAACAAGGTAAGTGGGGAAGCAAAGATGGGAAGTGAGGAAGAGCAGAGGCAGAGAACAAGTCAGCATCTAAAGAATCCTAGCATTTGGGTTTGGCTCCTTGTATTCCTGGGACTCTGTTGGCATTTGAGGTGGGGGAATGATTAGCAACGCTCACAGGAGACTGGCAACCCCCCCTCCCTCAAGAGCCCACTCAGTCCTCCACTCTGTCACAGGCTGAGGCAATGACCCAGGCCAACCCCTGAGCTCAAAAAAGGCCCCTATTCCTCCCTGGCTCTGTGACTGGGCAGCTACTCTGTGTTCTTCTTTCCTGGGATTCCTTAGTTTCTAACTTCGTTTTGGGAGGCCTGATTTGGTTTGATGGAGAATGGAAGAGAAGTAATAGAGAAGAACAGAGGCAAAGGGCAGAGGACTTGGGGGAGCTGCTGGTCTCTGGCCTCTGCTACCACTGCTGCGAGGTCTTAGGCCTATTAGCTTTTGTTTCATTTCTTCCTCTTTAAGTTTAATTTTTAACTTTAACTTTTATTTAAATGAAATTGAACTGCGACTACATTCCTAAGGTTTGAAACTCAAATAGTATGAAAAATTGAGAGAAAAATAATCTACCTCTTGCTCTCAAATCCAGCCACCCAGTTTCATTTCTTAGTGGCAAACATTGTTGGCTTTGTGTACCCTTTCCAGAGGTAGTTTATGCACATTAAACAAGAGAGATAGCCCCTCCCCTTTATACATAACATTCTTTGTTGTTGTTGTTGGTTGTGAATCTTGAACTCTGGGCCTGGGCACTGTCCCTGAGCTCTTTAGCTCAAGGTGAGCACTGTACTACTAGAGCCACAGCGCCATTTCCGGTGGTTAATTAGAGATAAGACTCTCACAGACTTTCCTTGCCCGGGCTGGCTTTGAACTGCATTCTCAGATCTCAGCCTCCTGAGTAGCTAGGATTACAGGCATGAGCCACTGGCACCCGGCTTACATAACATTCTATACGTAACATTTTATATAACATTCTATACAGTTACTTTCCCCAACCCCTAGTTTTGTGTGTGTGTGTGTGTGTGTGTGTGTGTGTGTGTGTGTGTGTGCTAGTACTAGGGTTTGAATTCAGGGCCTGGGTGCTCTTAAGGCTCATGTTCTACCACTTGAGCCACCTCCACTTCCAGCTTTTTAATGGTTAATTGGAAATAAGGGTCTCATGGACTTTCTGTTTTGTTTTCGAATTGTGATTCTCAGACTCAGCTTCCTTAGTAGCTAGGATTACAGGTGTGAGCCATTAATGCTTATTTATTTTTTTAACAGTTGTGTGGAAAGGACTACATTTGTATAGCCTATACACTGTATCCAGCCAGTCCTTTACTGATGCTTCACCCATCTGTAAAATACATATAACAAGTCTGCTTTGTGAGATGATTATGAAGGATTTAAGATCATGCATGCAAAGTGTCTGGGTCAAGAGCTCAAAGAATGGGAGTCAGCGGCATTGTTCTGGTTCCTTCTGGTTCCTTCTCCCCAAGACCCATCTGAAATGTTATCTCCTTCACAGTCTCTTCCTCATTACCCCCAGGCCTCTGGTAGCACGTACTCTGTCCTACGCTGACTTCATTCCAGGCTGCAAGTTGCTGGGCACCAGGTATGCATCCTGCCCACCATTGTGTTTCCCGGAGGGCATGGCACGGAGGAGCCACCTGCCTTGAGCAAAGCAGGATATGCACTTCTCTCTACAGGATGAGTGAGAGGTTCGCATGGAACTGGAGCCCGGGTGGCTGGCTGCTGGCCTTGTGCGTGGCCTGGCTGTGGACCCGCCTGGCCTTGGCTTCTTTGCAGCCTTCACCTGCCACAGGTTTGAGGGAGGTGTGGGGCTCGGAGAAGAGCTTCCCGGGACACCCTACCCCATTCCACATAGCAGGCAGATCTGAGGTAGAGTAAAACGCACAGATTTCAGGGGCTGACTCCTCTGATCATTACCCAGGACACTCTGTCCTCTTCTCCACCTGGCCAGAGAAGGCCTGGGATGGCTCCTTCCGGGTTGGAAGGTGTTCTGTAGCAAGAGAGAGAAAGAGGACCTTGCATGAGGGCTTAAGTCTAGCCTCCTGGCCTAATTCTGAGGTTTTCCTTCTGGGATGGCTAAAGCCTGTGTAAGCGGATGATCCCTTTCACGCATTGTAAGCCCTGGGGCCCTTTGCTCTAACCCTGAGAAAGCCTAAAGGTGGGGGCTGGTGTAGGACTCCACTTTCTTCTGCCTAAAGACTAGGCTCTGACAAAGGGTGATTGATGAGTGTGGCCTTGCTAGGGAGGAAGAGGAAGGTTTCGTTCACGTCCTCTACCTGGAAATCTTCCTGTCCTCTCTCCCCTTTCCACCACCTGCTATTACTAAGCCACAGCCCTGGGAATCTCTTAAATAGCACCTCCCTCCCAAGCAGGGAGGAGGTGCTTGAGGACCACCTGGGTTGGTGGGAGGGGTGCAAGTCTTGGGGCCTGATCTTGTGTGCCTTGGCCTCATCAGTCCTCGAAAAGCAGGGCACGTGTGAAGTAATTGCTGCTCACCGCTGCTGCAACCAGAACCGCATTGAGGAGCGCTCTCAGACTGTCAAATGCTCCTGTCTTTCTGGCCAGGTGGCTGGCACTACACGGGCAAAGCCTTCCTGCGTGGATGGTGAGTAACCAGGGCCTGGCCGGCGGGTGGGGAGGCCCTGAGCAGAGATAAGGAGGTTGTGTTCAGGCCTTGCCATCTGTTGGGGATCCAATTTCATCCTCATCAGGGCTTTCATGATCAGAGTCTCAAACGGTGGGGCACCCTCTGAGGGACAGGAGGGCAGATGTGGACATCTCTGTGTCATGGATGCAGAAAGCTCTTGTTACAGCCTCTGTGCCACTCTATCCACCCTCTGGCGCATGCGCACATACGCATTCCGGTACTCCTCCAAAGGGGGCCCTCTTCCATGTGCTGCCTCTTCTCAGCCAGGCCTTTATCTTCTCCTCATGAAGACACTGGATCCTGACCCCTGTTCTTACCTCTCCATCCATCCTCTGCTCACTGTGCTCATGCACGGCAGCTTGTACACTCCTGGACACAGCTCCCACACTTGCTTACATGCTGTACACCAGTGTGAGGAGGGATGCTGAAGATTATGCCTTTGTGTGAATGGCCTGGCTGCCTTCGAGGCGGCTTCCCCCACTTCCATCCTCCCTTGCTGTCTTTGACGCAAGGCAGATCCATGTGATGAAGCTCAGGCCTCTGCTTGAGCACAGGGCTGTCTTTCCAGACTCCCTAGAGTAAGGGGAAGAGAATGGAAGTTCAGGGCTCAAAGCCAAATGTATGCCTTTTTTCTGGGACCCCTCAGAACCACTGCCGTGCTTGAAAAGAGCTTAGAACTGGTTTTCTGCCTCCTGCTCCCCAGCCTCCATTGTCCTGCAGAGGTGGTGGTGTCAGATGGAGCCCTGCCTGCCTGGGGAGGAGTGTAAGGTGCTTCCCGACCTGTCAGGATGGAGTTGTAGCAGTGGACACAAAGTCAAAACCACCAAGGTATCGGGATGGACATGTCATCTTCTTTCTTACTTGGGGGGCAGCAAAGGGGATTCTGAAGCCCTTGGAGGTCCAGGAGAACAGGGTCACTAGGTGAGAATTGTGAGCCACGACAATATATCTCAAGAAAATCCCTCTGGATCTGTCCTGATTCTGGGAGGGCTTGACATCCAAACTCCAGTGTGTCTTTCTGGGAAAATTCTTGATGTTACATATGCTTTTGTTTCTTTCTCTGTGTGTTTGCCTTCAGAAACTGCCAGGTGTAGAAAGACAAAGTGGAGGCAGGTGTTGGTGGTACATGCCTGTAATCTCAGTACTCCAGAATCTGAGGCATTAGAACCCTAAGTGACCCAGTGAGTTACAGGCTAGCGTGGCTACAGAGTGAGACTGTGACTCAACAAACAAGACCAAACCAAAACAAGAATTGGGGAAATTGCCTAAATAATTCAGGAAAGTCTCTCTCCAGCCTGAATCCCACTACAGTAGCCAGCTCTGTCTGTTGCTGCCTCTGCCATGGATTCTCATCAACCCTCACCTCACTGCCATGATGATCAGCTTCCTGAAGTTTAGATCTATCTTTCTCTAGTCAAATTGCTCTGTCTGCTGTGACAGCACTCAAGAAGAATATTTTCATGGTTTGCTGCCTGCCCCACAAAACAAGGGGTAATTAAAATTTTATCAAACTCTTCAACAATTCCATGCGTGTCATGGTTAATTAGTTGCATTATGTTGTTATTACCATGTATACAGAGGAGTGACACTCCAGGACAAGCCATGGCACAGCTTTTCTTCCCCACAACAAACACAAACAAACAAAACCAGAGAAGAAAAGGGCAGGATCCAGGGTTCTGAAGAAAGCAGTGATTTTTCTAAAGCACAGAACAAAAGCAGTTGTGGCAAGAAAAAAAAACATCAACTGGATATAAAGCAGACTATCTGATCTGTAGGTAGGGAAGAGAAACAGGCATTTGGAGTATATTTAAGGCTAGAAGAGAGTGAGGCCTGGCACAGAGGTTAGAACATTTGTTATCCTGTTATAGATCTGGGGTTGTAGCCTGAAAAGTGAATGGCTATGTTTGCCATTTGTGTAGTGAGTCCAGTTGTGAGGCATTTTAGTTTGTGTTTATATAGACTCCCAGGCTCCCTTTCCCAACTTGAGTGTCTTTAGGAGGAGACAACCAGGATGAGTGACCTTCTAAGTGACTTGTATTTCATGGGGGAGTCTCTGCATGCTGGGATTACCCCCAATGACTTCTCTAACCTTTATCTACCCTATCACTTGCTCCTTAGGTCACCCGATAGCTCTTGTGGGGAATCATGGCTGGATGGAGTCCTGGACTGAAGAACAATATCCAGTTTTTAGCCAGCAAACATGGGGATTCACTTACCTGAACATGGACTCCATGCCACATGTAGCATCTGTCTTTCCTGGGTATTTCAGTACTGTGAAGAAATGGATGGATTTGAAACCACATACCTGGGGATCTATGTTCTCTTGGAGACAAATAATGTCAAGACACCATTCCTGCCCTTGAGGAATATCCAGTCAAGTTGGAGAGTGAATGACAGACAACTTAGACTTCTGAGCCACCTGCTGTGGACATGGTACAGTTTTGAGGATGAAACTCCCATAGTGCTTCAGCCAACCCTTGGCCACAGGGCACAAAGACTTAGATGTCGTATTCTTCTTCCTTGCATCCTATCCCTCCAGGCAGTCTTGAATCTCCAACAAGCTGCTAACACCTTATAGGAAACACTGACCCAACTATAAACCAGGCCAATGGGATCTCATTTAGAAGAGGTTGGATTGGCTTAGGAGTAGGAAAGCAAAGATGAAACTACACAGCTCTCCAGCCAAACATTGAGAGGAATGGCCTAGTTTGGGCTGTTCACTGAATGAGTGACAGATACGACCTTAAAATCACCCTACCCCAACACCTTAGATTTTTGTTTGCTTTTTTAACATGAGGAAACAGAGTCATAGAATAATGAGTGATTTGCCCCAAAGCTCATAGTTCCCACATCTCTTAAGACTGGCACTTAGTCTAATGTGGATATTAGGATTTCAGTTTGGGCCTTCCCTCTTTATTTTTTTCAGGTATTAAACCCTGCAAAGTATTGACTAGTCAGGAGCAGTATTTATCTTGAGAGATGCTCAAAATGGGTCTTTGGTCAAGATCACAGTTCTATTAGAACTCATCCAGAATGCCCCTCAAAGATGTGGAGATGCTTGATTTCTACTCTTCCCTTAGTACCCAAATTCTAAATAAGCCCCATAACAGCCCAGAGGTCTCTCAGCCCAGTTACAGTTATGGTCTCTGAGCTGTCATCCCAGTACCCTGCCAGGACTCATTTTTTTCTGGAGCCTTTGTGTTGTAACTCTCAGAAGCATTAGATCAAGGAGAGTTGGGGTGTGTAGGTCAGCACCCCTTTCCTGCAGAGGCCCTGCTCAGCAGGGGGAGTGGTAGGTTGGACCTCTGGCCAGGATTAAGGCCAGAAGTCAGGCTAGTATTCCAGGTGGTATAGGGGCAATGCACTGGCTTACAGGAATTGTCATGGCCTTAGGGATTAGGGGGTCATTAGAGACCTGGATGGTGTTGAATTCTGTCCTTCAGAGAAGCCCATCGAATGATGGTGTGGAGCTGAGTCTCTCTCCTTCCCTTTGTGCCTCCTTCCTCTTGCAGTAGACCCAAGGCTGACATCTCCCTTCTTCACCCCACCCTGCTGAACTTTCTGGTTTTTGTTTTTGTTAATGGAGTGAACAGTGGTCCAGTTTCTCACTGAACTAGAAATGTTAAAACTCCAACTAATAAAATCACTGCTCATAGATGACTTATGGGGTTGGGTAGCCAAGGAGAGGGTTAAAGGCTCCCATTGTCTCCTTCAACACTGGAGAATGGAGGTCAGAGGAGAGACAAATGGGTTGGCAAAGCTTTTCTGTAAAGAGCCTGAGAGTAAATATTGTACGCTTTGCAGACCATGTAAGTCCTTGTTGCATAGTCTTCATTGTTACTGGTTTTCCTTTCATTTTGTTTCAGAAACCTCTCAGAAATGTAAAATCCATTCTTAACTTAAAATCAGATTCTAGCCCCTTTTCAGCAAGTTGCCAACCCCAGGGAACCTTTCAAGTCCTGGGATGGCCTCCAGCTTCCCGGCCTGCCCCATGTGAAGGAGAAACCTGAGCTCAGGGTTGGGACAGGTTTTGTTTTTCTCATAATGCTCCTTGAGAGATAGGCAAGTGAATTATTTAGGCTACAAATGAGACAGCTTTAGCAATCCAACTAAAAGCCTGCTTGCTGTCCTGGAGGCTGGAATGTGGGCTTCTCTGTTTCTCCCTGTTCTGGAGATCCTCTCCTCCTGCTCATCTGTATTATCCACACGAGCTAGAGATGAGCCTGAGAGCATCAGAACCATGCTGCATAAACTCTCCTGAGCTGCCAGCCCCGGCTAGCTCCCCACAAGCCCTACCTCCATCAACATCCTGGCTCTTATCTTCCCTGAGCACCCACATCTCCACTTCCAGAGTGACATAGGGTCACTCACTGATTTAACTCCTCAGAGCCTCATTCCCTCCTGACCTATTCATATTTCTTTGGTGAGCTTCAGGGTTGGGTATTTCTTACATGGTAAGAAAAGCCTCTCACAGAAGAGGGTCTGATGAGAAGGGCAACAAGAGTTGTTTCCTGAGTTTTGCTTTACGATGGAATCAAAGCTGTAGGTTTTCAAGTGATTACAATGGCAAACAGACAAAGTTCCTAGAAGTGTTGGTCTTCCTTTTCTTCTGTTGGTGATGGGATCTCAGAGCCTTTGAAATTGCTGCTCCCCTCTCCCCTCATCTGTGCAGGTCTTAGGGTGGTTACATTCTGCAGATCAAGTGGCCAGCTTCTACTGGCCTCCTGGCAGTTTTCTTTTTTTCTTCTTTCCTTCCTCCCTCCCTCTATCTCCCTTTCTCCTTCTCCCTCCCTCCTCCAGGTGGCTTAAAATCAGGGCCTCATGCTCTTGCTTGGCTATTACATTCAAAGCTGGCGCTCTACCACTTGAGCAACACTTCCACTTCCATGTTTTTTTGATGGCTAATTGGAAATAAGAGTCTCACAGACTTTTCTATCCCATCTGGCTTCAAATTTTCATCCTCAGGTCTCAGACTCTTAACTAAGTAGGATTGCAAGCATGAATTGGTAGCACCTAGCTTTTCTGGCAATTTTATTAAAGTTTTTTTGGGTGATAGCCTAATTAATGACTCCAGATAGTCTCATGGGGTTAAGACTTCAGCTTTCTGAAAATCAAAAGCTTATAGCAGAGTGATTTTAGGTGCTATATTTGATAGAGAAAGTGGCTCAGAGAGGTTAGGTAATGTGCCTAAAGTGACACAGCAAATTGGTGACATGTACTGCCCAATAATACAGATAACTTGTTCTTTTCACTACTGCACATCATCTCTAGCCTCAGAACAGATGAAACCCTGGAAAGAGGCCAGATTACAGTATGGATGAATGTGAAAGTGTCATTCTAGAATCGTCCAATGCTATAAGTACAAGGGACAGAAAAGAGAATCGTACATTGTATAAATACCAAAAGAGGAAAGAAGACAAGAAGGAAAAGTTGATATTATTTAGTTAGACCATCAAAACACCAACACAGGGCTGAAGGTATGACTCAAGTGGTAGAGTGCCTGCCTAGCAGCATAAGATTGTGAGTAGTTCTTTCTCTCTCTCTCTTTCTCTCTCACACACACAGAGTAAAATATTAAAAACACTGATGTACATAAAAAAGTGATTGACTCTTGACCTTTCTGAAGAGGAAGAATGGAGCCCTACCATCTTTTGGCAGGCCTGGAGTATGGTACAATCCAAGCATGGGCAAGGCTGAGGCAGGATTGTGAGTTGCAAATCAGCCTGAGCTATGTACTGAGACTGTCTCCAAAACAAAACAAAACAAAACAAAAAACAGCCCCGAGTCCCCTACAATCCTACTACTCAAGGAGGCTGAGATCTGAGGCTGCAGTTTGAAAAAGACAAATCTGAGAGACTATTTTCACCAGTCAGCAAAAAGTCATGTGGAGGTGTGGCTCAAGTGGTAGAGTACCAGCCTTGAGTGAGAAATCTGAGTGCTGCCTCCTCCTCCACTTCCTCCTCCTCCTCCGCTTTCTCCTCCTCCTCCTCCGCTTTCTCCTCCTCCTCCTCTCCTCCTCCTCTTTGTATTAGATCATAACTCAGGGTCATTGAGCTCTTGCTTGTCTTTCTTGTTCTCAGCTAGTGCTCTACCACTTGAGTTATGCCACCATCTCGGTATTTTGTTGTTTAATTAAATAGAGTCTCATGAACCTTTCTGTCTGGGCTGGCTTTGAACCACAATTCTGAAGTTCTCAGCCTTTTGAGTAGCTAGGCTTACAGGCATGAGCCATCAAGTAAGTGGCTGGTTTTTGGGTTCTTTACACCCTATACAAAGGTTCACAAACCTAATCTGTGAGTCGCTGTTTTGTTTTTTGCAAATAAAGTTTTATTGAAACATAACCATGCTTATTTCTTATTATTTCTTACTTTGGAGGGGGGCAGTAGAGGGAATTGAACCCAGGGCCTCTCTTGCCAGCCAAGTGCTCTGCCACTAGACTTATCCAGTCATCCCACCTATGGCTACTTTTGTGCTACAATAGCAGAAGTGAATCATTGTGAAGAGCCCAAACAGCCCACAGAATCTAAATAATCATCTGACTTCATGTGGAAAAAATTGGTAGCAATTTCCACACCTGTGGTAAATGATTACATTATATTTCTGCATTTATAGTCTTTTTTGCCTGTGCTTGTGGCCTGTGTTCCCTTCAATCCCTTCTAGTGCCATTTTGTCACTTCTTTGTGTGTGTGTGTGTGTGTGTGTGTGCGCGCGCGCGCACACACGCCACCCCAGGGGCTTGAACTCAGGGCCTGGGTGCTACTCTTTTTCTCAAGGCTAGTGCTTTATTATTTGAGCCACAGCTCCACTTCTGGCTTTTTAGTGGTTAATTGGAGCTAACAGACTCATGTCCTTTCCTGTCCAGGCTGGCTTCAAACCACGATCCTCAGATCTCAGCCTCCTGAGTAGTTAGGATTATAGATGTGAGCTACTGGGCCCTGGCTTTCACTTGTGATATCTAACAACCAAAGAAATGAAGACATTAAAACTGTAATTGGTCAAGAAAAAGACCTGGAGCAGATGGATGCTTCCCTAATAAGTGATCGTAGCCCTTATTGGATCAATTCATATTTTCTCAGTTTATGTAACTGCTACCTTTGAATTTAAGGAGGACAACTGTGCAACCACATGTAAAAATGTACTATACATGTATGCTTGCTGCTCAAGTTTCTGTGTGTTGGTGGATTTGAGTCTTTCCACATCCATAAGCCATATGTATTCAAAATACATATAAACCACTTCAGTTGACCAGACTTAAGACATACTGACTACACCCAGCCCAGCCCATAAGTATATGTTCCTGTTCCATCTGTGTGGCTGATATGGAGCTCCCCAACAGAGGAAGCTTCGTTTCCTCTTCTCCTATTATAAGCAGCCAGCCAATATCCCTGGGCTTGTGACTTGTCACTGAGTATGGGTCTGGGAGAAGCAGGGACACAGCAGCCATTGAACTCAGATGGCTGTAAGTGAACTTGCAATAGGCATTACATTTGGCATACTGAGGCCCAGGCAACTACCTTTCAAGCCATTCTTGAGGGTGCAGGAATGGACTCGTTAGTTGAGCTTAAAAAGAAGAGAATTTCAACCTTTGAAAATGGTGGTCAGCTTCCAAAAGTTGAATTGACCTACATGCTGGGACTGGTGATGCACCAGCACTTCTATTAGTGTATTTCTACCATGTGCCAAGCACAATGCTAGGCTCTTTATACAGGTAACAGTAATATTAAATGGAAATCTTTCCACCCCAAAACTTGATTAGAGAGCCAAGGGCCAGTAGCTCATACCTGTAATCCTAGCTATTCGGAGGCCAAGAATGATAGAATCATGGCTTGAGATGAGCAAGGCAGAGAAGTGTCAAAGATTCTTCTTACCCTATAGCCATAGGGTAAGATGTGATGGTGAGGCTTGCCATCTTAGGCTATGTGGGAAGCTGAAATTGGGTGAGAGGTTCACATTTCCAGGCCAGGCTAGTCAGAAAAGTCTAGGAGATTCCATCTCAATGGAGGCAAGCTATAAGTGGTGATGCATGCTTGTCATTCAGCTAGGATGGGAAGCCTAAAGCAGGTGAATCACAGCTTAGGTGCACACTTCAGTAGAAAGCAGGACCCCTATCTCAAAAATAATTGGTGAAAAACCGGGCTGGAGGCATGGTTCATTGGTAGAATGCCTCCTAGCAATCTCAAAACTCTGAATTTAAACCCTAGCACACCCATAATCCCCACTAATTTTTTTGACAGAAGCCTTAAAAGTCAGGATAAAAAAGTATTAACTAGTCTCAACTGCTTCCATATTGTGTGTGTGTGTGTGTGTGTGTGTGTGCGCGCGCGCACATGCATGCTAGTGTTGGGCTTGAATTCAGGGCCTGGGCACTGTCCCTGAGCTCTCTTGCTCAACAGATGCACTTTTGGATTTTTTGGTGGTTAATTGGAAATATGAGTCTCATGGACTTGATCTCAGCCTCTGGAGTGTGATTACAGGCCACCAGTGCCCAACTCGTACCCATATTCTAAATCAGGATTCTAGACTATTTTTTCCAGCCTTGTAAAAGGCTTTGTATGTATGCTTCCAGACCATTTGTAACCATGTTCACAGGGATTTAAATCTGCCTCATATTGGAATCTTCAGGAAGGAAACAGAGAGAGAGAGAGAGAGAGAGAGAGAGAGAGAGAGAGAGAGAGAGAGAGAGAGAGGGGAGGAGGGAGGGAGAGAGGCAGGTCTTCAGGCCATTGCCAGTGCTTCAGGACAATCTTGGAAAGAACTGACAGCAGCCTTGGTGGCTGGGAAAGTGCTCTGTAATCCTAGAGAGGTTCTGGGATATGGTACATCTCATTTCTATCACAATCCCAGTGTTTAGGAGACAGTGAGCCAGGCAAAGAAGATCATCTAAAGCTATAAAACAAACCACAAAATAAAGAGGGTCCATGTTAGGATTCAAGGAAAAGATGTGAGAAAGAATTAAACAAGCTATCTGCTGGAGCCATAGCAAGTCATTGCAATTCAGTGAAGGAATGCACATTTATTTCCCTGCAAGAATCTATGAGGTAAGTGTAATTAACACCAGTTTACAGATACAGATGCTCTAAGAGGATGAAAAACAAAGCCCCTGGCTTCGATCACTGCTGTCATACTGACTGGGGAATCTAGGGCAAGGAAAAGGCATAAGGAAAGTGAACACTGAAGGCTAGACTTTACTAAGTTTTGACCTCAGTGCTTGGTGCGCATGCTCATAATTTTGTTCATAGCTGGTGCTCTATCATTTGAGCCATGCCTTTACTTCTGGCTGTTTTGCTGCTTAACTGAAGATTAGAGTCTTCTAGATTTGTCTACCAGGGCTGACTCCAAATCTCGATCCTCAAATCTCAGCCTTTTGAGTCACTAGTGTACCAGTGCCTGGCTAGAGTGGACATTTTTTTAATGAATTGTCTCATTTAAGTCTCATGGTCTTTTCATAGAGCTATTGCTGTCTACATTTTTCAGGCAAGCAATCTAAGCTTCAGAGGTTCAGTAGAGTTTGCCAAAGATAACAGAACTCACAAGCAGCAGAACCAGAGTTTGCCCAGAGTTGAACAAGTCTGGCTCACCTCTCAAGCTTGTTGTACCCTTTCAGGATACATGAGCTGTGTTCTAGTCATTTTCTACAGGATGAACAATCCAAACACTTCACAAGTCATGCCTAGGAAAGGAATGAGGGGCCTGGTGAAGGGATGTGTAATAGGTAGGAGGGTGTTGTGGATAAACAAAGAGAATTGAACCTAGCCTGAGTACCAAGTCTTTAAAGCTGAATGAGAAGCAGCCTGTGTTGTGTGTGTGTGTGTGTGTGTGTGTGTGTGTGTGTGTGTGTGCGCACGCATATTGAAGGGAAAGCTGAGCAAAGGCTGAGTGAAAAACATCTGCCAAAAAGGCTTGAGGCAAGTTCAAACAAGGAATTAACTCTGGCCAGAATACAAAGGGTAAGGAAGGAAGGAGAAATGATGCTGAAAGTCAGCCTAGGGTGAATTTGGGAGAAGCTGGACACTGTGCAGTTTGAGTTCTATCCTGAAGATGATGAGATGATAGAGATCCTCACAAGGACACAGGGACAAGGGAAGATGCAGAGTGCCTATCAAAGACAGGACTATCTGGCCACATATGAGTTGAAACTGCAGACTGGGATATAAGAAGATGTTTTAATAATCATCCAGGTAAGGGATAAGCCCTTGAACCAGAGAGAAGAGGGAGGGCGATGAGGGAATTTCCAGCTTCAGGCTCTCTTCTCATTTGTATAACCAACGCTTGAATTTTTCCTTTCCTATGTCACAGATCCATGCACAAGGCCAATAGTGGGCCTTGAACTCAGGGTCTGGAAACTACCCCTTAGCTCAAGGCTCTCATTCTACTAAGCCACTGCTTTGTTTCTGGCCTTTTGGTGATCAATTGGAGATAAAAAGAATCTCACAG